ATCTTTATATTTCTCTGCATGTTTCCTGTAATCTTGTATTAAAAATAAAATAAAATGTGGTCAAGATTAGACTAAACCTCATGTTGACTACTAACTCGATTCAAGCTAATTTATGTGCATCATGGAGACACAAAATGCACTATTTTTTACATTGAAAATGTGAGAAAGATGGATGAATCACATGTTGATTGTGAGTCATTTAAAACATCAATCAAATAATAATAAAAATAAATTAAAATTTAAGACATAAACTCGATATTGGTGGCCAGTCGTTGAAGTGGACCCCGTTGACAGAGCCTACAAGCAATATGCCCCCTCACATGTCCTTCCAATGATCTAGAATATGTACCCAGCCATAAGGGCAAGAGGCCATCACGAGCAAATCATTCTTGGACAATGACGATTCTTGAAAGGTAATATTAGCAAGACATGCACACTTACTAGATCGGTGTTGATGAGGACAACGATGATGATAGAGAGATGGGTGTCATTGCGAAGGGTAGAAGGGAGAGACTAGGAAAGAGAGAGAGTGAAGAGAGTAATGTTTTAAAACTCAGATCGTACATTAAACAGGAAAGAACAATAGGTCATGATTATCGCCAGTTAAACCGATAACATAAAAATTAAATAAAAAATAATATTCACACACACAAATAAAACATTAATTTGTCAAAGAAAATAATAATATATCAAATAACACAACAAATCTACATTGCATAATACATTTTAATTGCCAAACAATGACACTACAAATCCAAAATATATAAAACTATCAACAAAATGACATATCATTGCAAAGTTCAAAACATTATAAGAATATTAATTAACAATCAAGCAATGAGGCAAACAAATCATCAAAGCACAAGAATAGAACTAAACAGAGTTGAACAAAACTAAAAGATTAATCGAACAAAACAAAAAAACTAAGAATAAGGTAATCAAACAAAACTAAAAGACTGAACTAGAAGCTTAAATCAAACAAGACAAAATATCAACACATCACTCTAAGTCTGAATTTGAAGATTGAATTAGAAGCTAGAAAGAGAACCCAGAAGTGGAAGGAGAGTAGAGCATGTTGACAATAATGAAGGCACCAAGCCACCAACTCACATTAAAAAGCTGAGTGAGCACTGAGTAGAGCAAATCTTAACGGGAAGAATCAAACAATTTGAGGCTTGAGCAGAGCTTGTGACCTATAAGCAAAACAATTGGAGGCAAAAGTAGAGGCACGAGTTGGAGCTTGAGCTGGGTGGAGCTGGAGGCAACTCAAGTATCGACACCAAAGGAGCTAGATACACACCGTCACGTGCTCCCCTTCTCGTTGATGATGAGAAATCCTAGAGTTAGGTTGAGGGTAGAGGGATGTTGGCACCAGAATCAAAGATTAAGTGAGCCTGGAGGAAAGAATCAAATATTAAGCTTAAGGGAGATAAGAATGGCTAGAGTTGAGAGTAGGGGTAAATTCGCAAATAGTTGGAGATTAAGAGCGTGTGAGCGTGACTAATCTTTGATTCTGAGCTCTAGGTTTTTTCCTTTTTGAAAGTTTGACCTGCTCTTACTTGGATGGACCTACTATAGGTTCTAGGTCAAGTCTGGCTCTCTCAAACCCGTCTGTGTCAATTCAATCCAAACGATTGGACCAAGCCATTTTGTTAAGCGAGCAATGGTCGAATGTTTGGTTCGATCCGTTTTGAGTTTCAAAACATTGAGAGAAGGAGAATGGAGAGATATGATGATCAAGTGATGACAGACCCTATGATTTAAAAAAATAAAAAATGTATATTTTGTATTAACAATAAGAAAAAATTACTTTTAATTTAATTATTTAAGATTTAAAATATATCAAATATGATTTTATGATTTAAATCATTTTGGATATAATTCAGATTCAAATTATCATTTAACACTTTTAATTACACTCCCATGTATTAATACGTATGAGGTGACTCAGGGGGAAGTATATAATATTTATACAAAAAAAATTAACTGGCCACGGGGAGTTCGATATTTATACTTTACCCTGCGTTGACACTCCCTGGGACAGAGGAAGGGGAAGAGAGAGAGAGAGAGATGGAAGCCCTGGCAGCGTTTGGCGGAGTTGCTTCAACCTCATCCTCTCTCGGACGCTTCACAGCAAAGACGACTGGCGACTCTTACTATACCCAGAACCCTATCTCACGCTTCTCCCGTAAACCTCACCTCTCCGCGTTTCCTTCAAATTCTCAGCTTTTTTCTCTCAACCCTTCTCACTCCAATGTCAAAACTCTCATCCGTCGAAGCTCCACAAAACCTGGCATCTTCCTTCCCCACCTAGTTGCTTCCCTGGTTTGCTTCCTCTCTTCTCCCTATTTTATCAGTATCCTATCGCAAAAATTTCTTTCTTTTCTTGTTAATACTTAAATTACTCATATGCAGGAACAAATTGAAGAAACTTATATAATGGTGAAGCCCGATGGTGTTCAGCGTGGCTTCGTAAGCTTCATTCTTCTTCGTATACTGCATTTTTTTATGTTATAGTCTGAGACCTTTCGACAATGTATCAAGGGGGCAAAATCTAGAACACCTCGGAATGTTAGGAAGATATTCTGGAAGAGAATGGGTGTTAACTTTAGCGAGCACCAGCAGTATCTTATTTGTCTCTGAGGAAAAAAAAAATTGATTTTTCAAGTTTATTGTTAATACTACAAGTTATATGTCTAGGTTGTGATACTGCTTGCTGGATTTTCTGAATATGACGCATTGGTTTAGGTTGGAGAAATTATCTCGAGGTTTGAGAAGAAAGGGTTTAAATTAAAAGGCTTGAAGCTTTTCCAATGCTCAAAAGAATTAGCAGAGGTTCGTACTCGCAGCAACACCTGATCTTAGATTTTATTGAAAAAGTATGTATATTCATTATCATGTGTGTTAAGTGCAACAGTAACTCTTGTCTTATGGAAGATATGTTAGAGGTCCTGTTGAGCGTGCTTATATATTTCCCGAGGAAATTTAAAATCTTATCATTAACTAATTCAAATTTGACATATGTTGTATATTTGATGATAGTTGTGGGAAATCAAAGTGTCCAGAGAGTACAAGAAACTAACTACAACATCTTTTTCGTCAGATGTGGACTTTATGTATGATGTTTACTTTCTTCAACTTTTATCGTCCTATTTCCATTTATTAGGCCTCTTGTTCTTGTTTATGGTTACAGGAACATTACAAGGACCTAAAAGAGAAGCCATTTTTCCCTAAGCTAGTAGACTATATCACTTCAGGTCCTGTTGTGTGTATGGTATAGAATATAGTCCTCCAATATCCACCTTTTACCTACATTTTTGCCAATTTACCTGCTGAAGGTAATTATTGGTTTTGCTATAATGCTATCTTTGCAAGGCTTGGGAGGGTGTTGGAGTTGTGGCCTCAGCACGTAAGCTTATTGGGTCTACAAATCCTCTTCAAGCTGAACCAGGCACAATAAGAGGGGATCTTGCTGTTCAGACAGGAAGGTAAAACCTTTAATGCTTTTGCATGACTGGTAACTTTTAAGCGTCACCACTTAGCCAAGACAAGTTGTAAGGAATGAATATTACTTTTCAACCAGACATATTTTGTACATATTGCCTCTTGTTATCCATTTTAACTATACATATTGATATCGATTTGAGTCTAAGGAAGCAATGACAATGTCTTATGAACTCCTGGCAGAAATATTGTACATGGCAGTGACAGCCCTGAGAATGGCAAGCGTGAAATAGGTAAGATCTCTTACGCTTTGAACCAATAGATGCAGAAGAGATATATGAGCCCTTGAAAAAAAAAAAAGAAGCAGCAAAGCTAGCAGTTCATTTAAATATTCACTTTAGCAGGTTTCGGAATTTGATTTTGAACAATAAAAATATTCAAGTTTTCATTTTGCATAAATTTAATGGCTGTTTGATGTCTGTTTTAATGTGCTTTAATGAAGACAAGTTTAAACTTCCAGAAGGATTATGCAGAACGATTTCACTTTAGAAGCTGGACTCCCTAGGGTCAAAATCATGTTTTTATAGGCACTGCTTTAATTTGGGAGGGAACTGGTTATTAATCTATTTCTAGGTCATGGAAATGAGGATATGGACCTGCAATGCTGGAAGTCCCTCCATATAGACATCAAATCTATTAGCAAAGTCTGGCACCGGAGTGACTGATTTACTAATAATAAGCTATGTGGGGAAAAAAGTCATGGGCAATACAATGAGAATAGGGTGCATCAAGTGAGTAAAGAAAATATTGTAGGAAGGATAAGTGCTAAACTTTGAAGACAATGGTGATGATGACAGTACCACCATCAATGTTCAGAATCACATGGTGAAAACAGAATGCTAGTTAAAAGAAGCAGATTCCTTTTCTTTTATATGCCGTGCCATTATCTATAGCCTATCGAATAATATAATCCACTGTTCTACATGCTACCATCAAGTTTACTGATAAAATCAGCCTGGCAGCCACCATCTTAAAATATGGTAGGTTGTTGTTGGCACACCATGGCACCAGTATGCCAGCTCTGTTAGGTAATTGCTGTTTTGAACCAAGATCAGAGTAATTGATATTTTTATCTAGCAAACCAAGGAAGCTGGGACGTAGTGAACTGAGGAAGAGAGAAAACAGGCGAACAATTCAATTATTATTTTAGATGTCAAAGTATTTGAAGCGTTACATATAATGTGGAGATGCTTGATTCTCATGGTTTGCAATGGTTGCAGCTCTATGGTTCAAAGAAGGTGAGTTGGTAGAGTGGACTCCTGCCCAAGCACCGTGGCTTAGAGAGTAAATCATTTCCAACACCCAATAACTGAGATACCTGCAGTCTTGAAGAACAATAACTTGATCCATTTTTTGTTCCCCAAAATAAGCCAGTACATTGGCATTGCAGATTTAATCTGTTGATTTGAGATAAATTTGACTGTTGTTTTTTTTCATGTTATGCTTGTAATATGCACAAAGTCGCAAGTACGATTCCTATTATGGAGCAAGCAAACTTAGCAAGAAATCGTAATACTTCGCTTTCAAAATTTGTGACAACCAATTTTCTTAATTGTATTTGAAATAATACATAAATTGAAATAGTACATGGGCCTCACTCTTGTTGTAATCAACCATTCCATCGTGTTCAGGTCATGTAGAGATGGACCCAAATTTATTCTATCAATTCAGACAGGTGAAGATTGAATACTTTCCGTCTCACTTCGGTAGTTATGTTCACTAGAACTTGATGCAGAGGCAGGGCGATCATTTTCGGTAGATACTGACTCCCCGCGGGATGAATCAATGCCACCAATGCGTCTAGAATCCTTGACTTTCGAAAAGAAATGAATGATTGAAATATTACTCTGTCTCGGCTGTTCGGAGGTCCCTGTGGAAAATTGATCCCTACCAGGCGATGTACTTATAGAAGAACAATCACTTACTGTCATCATAGAGCCAGCACCAGCTAAATTTGGTGCGTGATGAGAACTTGAAGCGCTTGCTGAAATGCGGGTCGACACTACATTTGTTCCCTCAACGCAGGATGAACTAATTGCAGAATCATCTATCATAATTTCATCCGATTCTTTGGAGAATGCACTTGTATCACGTTGAGCACCCAATTTTAGCTTCATGAGGGTAGCCTCTGTTCAAAGAATGGCAGGAACAAACAAAAAATTCATTAGTTCCAGCTGTTGAACCCACTAAATTGTTGCTTCCAATTAAATTCATGAGCATCTTAGGAATCCTATACTGAGAGAATAATAGCCTGTGGTTCGATCCTCTGCATTCAGAGGGTTAATGTAGAAGGTACATTTAAGAGAAAAGGTGGATTAATACATAATTGTGAGATGTCAGACTCTTGTATAGCTACATTCTATGTCGCTCTCTGTCTTAATGGATGAGAGTACAAATGGAGAGAAGCTAATTTGGGCATCATGCAAATGATATGCCTGTCAAACTAGTGCTTCAAGGCCTCATGGAGCATTCACCGAAATCTGATGAGAGTATTTCAAAGAACAGCTGAAAAGATGGTATTGAAATGACGTGAGCAACGCAAACAGAAGAGGCATTTTATCAAATAGGTGGTGGTTTAAATTACAGTACTTGGAGCACGGAGAAAGTTGCCTTGACAAAAGAAGAAATCTTTATCCCCTTTCACGGGAAATTCCCGAAATAATTTCAGCTTAGGGCGGCATTAGGCAGTGAGACTTAAACTAGCAGAGAAGACATGCTACTGATTATGATTGAACATCGAAAAACGCATCTCATCCACTATTCAAGTCAGATTCCGAATGGTGAAGCCATAGTAAAAAGACCGAATCAAACAGCACATACAATTACTCTAATGAGTTCGATCGTAGATGTAGAAATAAAGCGAGAGTACCGTAAATGGAGAAAGAGTCATCTTTGAGAATCTTGGATGGCGGCGATCCCTCCAACGTTTCCAGCGACGAAGATGGTCTGATTTTTCCAAACATCTCTTAGTCTACCCTCTTTCAGGTCTCGGCAGGCTGCAAAACACTTGTCGGTTCGGTTCGGTCCGGGCCGGGCTGTCCCGAGTCGCGATGCCACTCCAGTGGTCTAAAAAGACGACATTTTCGATTTTCCTTTCTGCAGATTGGCGCGCTTCAAATTGAATTACGGAAATTGAGCGGGAGTCGTCCTCTACAATCTACAGTCAACACGCTTTCGTTCTCCGCATTACTAATTCTTTGGTCATTGTTTTCCCTTTTTATCCTCCTTTAAAAAGTGTGTGTGTGTGTGTGTGTGTATTGGGTCAGTGTGGTCGAAGCCCGTTTGTTTCGTCCTTCCTTTCCTTTTACCGAAGCCCGTTTCTTTGCTAACTGTACACATTTGTTATTTCTTACTTGGTTGACAAAAGGCCAGCCCAACAAAGGGGAAAAAAGAAAGAAGGGAAAGTGACAATTAAAGATCCAAAGTTATAAAATTAAAAAATTCATAATATTTGATTGGAATTAAAAAATTTTATTGAATTTTTTCAATACACATCTTTCATATTTTTAGTAGTCATATTTAATATTTTTAGTACTAACTTTTTTATAACCATTTTATATGTTTTTATTACCAATCTTTAGAATTAGCAATTTGGGCCAAACATTATGAACTAGCCCAAATTTACTTAAAACAATAATATTTTTTTAATATTTAGGTATATTTGTCCCAACCCAAATAAGTTTAAGAAAATTCGAGCCTAACTTATTTGGGTTTGGGTTTAACTCAAAAAAATATATATAATATAATAAATATTAATTATTTTTTAACTTTTATATCATTTTATATTAAAATGTTATATATTTGAATTCATTATTATATTTATTTTAAAAAAATTAAAATTTTATATTTTCATATTTTTAATCAATAAAATATCTCAAAATAATACTTAAAATGTATTTTAATATTGAATTTTATATTTTAAGATTCAATTTTTTTTAAAAAAAACTTGAGTCCTATACATCATTTGCATATTCAAAAAATATATTTTATATTTTTTATAAAATAAGATAATTAATTTTGAAATAAAAATAATTTTAAAAATAAAATTCAAGCATGTATGAATTCTCAACTTTTCTAATAAATAAACATAATAAATAAAATAACATTTTTGGATAATTATTTGGTAATCATTTACACCAAACTTGGTTAAAAATTAAGAATAAATTAGAGTAAATATCTTTTATTTGTATGGGCTAAACAATATAAAAAGCTAAAAAAATATAAAAAAGAATATTTTACTCATAGTTAAATAATTTTGTTTTATATAATATAACGATAACTATTTTTCTCATATTTTAAAAAACAAAAAGTATAATTTACCCATAATTTATTAAAAAAATGTGAATTAATTGAGGCAATAATTTTAAGTTAATAGTATCTAATCATGATTGATTTGAAATCAAATTGATCATAATTAAAATAATATAGTTTAATTAAAATATATAAAATATTTATATATGAGCATCAGACTGTAATAAAAGCAATATTTAAATAATTAAGACATTAATTTATAAGTAAAGCAAATATTCATGAACAAATTACATATAATACAACAAAACAATAACAGAGTTATTAAAGTACAAAATTAAAAATTTATTATTTATTATTTTATTTTTTTAAAGATAAAATAATATTTTATGCTTAATAAAATTATTTAAAAATTAAAATTAATTTAAACATAAAAAAATATTTTTAAAAATTTTTGAGTATTCAGAGTGGCCCGAATAAGCTCAAAGGTGTTAGAGTGGACTTGGTCATATAACTTTTTAGAAAGAATAAAATATTTTAAGTTTGATCTAAATAAATCTAACATGAATTAAACCCATTTCAAATAAGTTCGTTATTTTTGAATTACTGACTCTACCTATCTTTCCTAATTTTAGTACTGAAAAATTGATGATAAGTGTTTTTTAATATTAAAAATATTAAAGATGAATATTGACAACATCTAACATAACTAATAAAAAAATTTTAAAAATTAAGTAATGAAAATGCTTAAAATAAATATGAAAAATATGATAGATGAGCACTGAAAAACTTAACTCAGAAAATTTTAACTCTAATTAAGTACTATGGACATTTTTTATAATTTTAATTCCGTCGCCCATGGCCTTCTAAACATTTGACGAGCAAGAACCTTGACGTAACATTCATCAAACAATGAAAGTAACAATTCCAAAAGTACGTATAAAATATTCATTGAAACTTGCATTGTATCACATTAAGAATCAGACGCTTGATTGTGAAAAATCTGAAGTCACACAACAGGAGTACCATATGGCAAGGATATAATGCATACAACAGAAAATCCTCGAAATCGATTGTTTGTCTACCCCTCCAAAAATTTTTGAGAGTTTTCGCAAGAAATAACACACTTTAAAGATCAATAACACGCGACAACTTCTGGATTCGGTTCAATAGAAAGTCCCCTTGCTTGATAGTTGCTTGGTAAAGAGCATTCTTAGAATCAGGGCGGTTAGTTTCTAGAACGCCTGCAACCTTATCAATCTTGCAATGAAGTTTCGCAGCTGCAATAAAACGGGATAGCTCCCTAAAGCAAACCATTGCATTCAGTCAGATTAGACAGACATACCATAGGCCTAACAAGAGAACCCAAACATCCTTAAACAATAAAAAATCAAACAAAAACTGAGTTTGTAATATCTAATCACTTACAGATCAATGAAATCCACGGTCACCCCAAATGCTTTTGCCATTGCCTCAATTGTGACGCTCTTGTAAGATTCCAAGAACTGTGAATAAACAACGGTTCTGATCTCCCTCATGTAATATCGGAAGTGTGGATGCAAATAGCGGTCCAACTTGATTTGCTCCGTCAAGCCAGCTAAAATAAATTTCAAAATGAAACAAAACTACTAAGCATAGATTCAAATAGATGCATAAATAAACTATCCAGCACTTTGCAGATGCTTTCCACAAACTCTCCAATGTAAAACACAAAAATCACTCGTAGGCTACAGGAAAAAGTATCTTCATAAAAGAAACTAATATTCGAAGCAGCCATTAATAGTATCAGGTATATAGAAGATGCCACGCACCAAATGCTGAGAAAAATGGCTTGTATTGACAGTCATATAGGGAGTTCAAAAACTCTGAAAGATATGGGATTTTGCCAATCACTGTCAAGATCTCAGGAGCATCCACCACCTGATGCAAATTAATTAACGTCAACTACATAAAATATACAGAACTCTTGCAAAGAAACAGAAACAACAATAGAAAGGAAAAAGGTCACGCAAAGTAAAAATCAAAGAAAAAGTGAAATACCTTTTGCTTCATGGAAACTCTATCCAATGATATAATGCTTGTTAAAACTGTGTAAAATATGAAAGTGTCATAGGGAAAAAGTTCATAGGTTGTAAATGTTGAAATAGAATCCAAAAACAGATTGGCAGCCTTCTTGAAATTTCGAGTGGACATGCAGTACAAGCCTTCATACACTTTCAACCGGTTCTTTCTTTCCCAATCACCACCTTCTTCAAACAAGCTGCCATCAAGGAGAAATCCATTAGAATCTGAATCTAATCTGAAAAATATGGGAAAGAGAAGAACAACAAAAAATTTGTATTCATTACTTTTTAGCTTTGTCAATGCTGTTGGAAATGAGATCAAAATCCATGTCAAAAAAACCAAGCTGCAATGTATGAAACACCAGATCCATCTTCTGACCAACTGCAACCGTCTTGCTTTCCGTTAACTTGAGATGTTCCAAGGCCTTTTCCTGGTAAATGAGGGAGAATGTTTCCAGCATTTACATTACAGCAAAAGATTACAGGAAACAGGTAATTACATTATAGTTGGTATATACCTTGTCACCAATCCGGATGAAAAACATGGACTTTGCCAAGTGAGCCTCTCGAACTTCACTCTCACCTAGGTTTTCCTCAGCATCAGCAATCCTGACAGGGCAACCGCATCAAATTTAAGAATATATAAGCCATTTTCCAAACAACAGTTCAAATTGCAAGAACTCACGAATTTAAGAATGCAATGATTATGATCTGTCTGGCCTTGTAACTACCTTATTCTACCAAATGAGGTTTGCGCTAAACAAAATCTAGTTAGAACAACCCAATCAAATCTAAGGTTCACACAAGATACCAAGAGTTGCACAAAAACTAACATTAATAACTAAAGCACAAAAAGGAAGAGGGAAAACTGGAATAAAAGAATGAATAGGACGTTAACTTAAACTCATGCAATGTTGGCGTTCTCAGGAATATATATGCCAGCATCAGAATCTTAACAAATCAGTGCTCTACAGAAGTGTCAACCACTACAATATGAAATATAGACGAACAAGGGGGGAACAATGAGAAAAATCACAACCAGGCTATGGGATCTGAATGGGGACTTCTGGGTAATATTTGGGCAACAAGACTTTGGATGACCGCTTTGGTACATATCTACGAGGAATGTGGCTACATAGGGAAAGTCGAGTTTGTTAGTAAAATTATAAATAAAAATGGGGTCTAGGAGAGGGGAAATATGCAGAAAATTGAAGGGTATTGTGGTGGAGAACTCCAGTAGTATTTAAGTGCTGGAACACCTTTGTTTTTTCCCCTGCTTTTACTATTGCATCAGCTGAAATTTCAGATGAAATCTATGGTTTCCATCAATTGGAATCTAATCAACCATGCAGAAAAATGAGGAAATTGTTGGTGAAAACTTCTAGCAATCTCTAAGTGGAAGAATATTCTCGTTTTTCTTCAGCTTTCCCTGCTTTCTGCTGCAATTTCAGATGAGATCCCAGCTTTTCCGTCACAGGCACAAATATGCTTGTGTCAGGTCACTTCTAAGGCCACAATCAGTTCTTACACCATAGAGGTCAATATCTAATCAATCTAAGATGACACACGGTGCCTAACAACCCCCTGGGTTTTGAATCTCAAACTTCATATCGTGTCAAATCAAACATCATAAAAAATGCCTAATTGGAAATTTCATCTTTGCCTCATCAAATTTCAGAAAAAAATAAACCAAGTCGACAATTAAGTATACTGAGGAACAAAAATGAACTCACTTCTCGTCAAGCTTCTTGAGTTCCTCGTCTATTTTAGCACGCATCGAGTCCCAAACGCTCTGATCCATGGGCAATACAGAATCAGCGACTAGGGTTTCGTATAAAGGAACCATGTCTGCACCACAACGATTAGAACTATGTAAAGCAGAATGAAGTTAATTGAAAGCTAAATGGAAAATGAATGTGATGGTAATCAAGCAGTTACCATTATCCTTGACATGAGTGAACACCTCGTCTTTGAGCCGGACCTTTTCAATGTCTTGAACGTCGGGGTGTCTGAGATGAAAGAGCTTGTTAGCGAGAATGATCTGTGGCTGCTGCACCCCTTCTTGTCCTTCCATAGCGGCTTAACGCTTTACCCGCAGAGAGCGATTCTGAACTGCTTTACTTGAGGAAGGAGGAACTGCGATATCACACACAGCTAAACCGGCTTAATGTCTTTGCTTTTAAAATTTATTCTTTTTTTCAACGGTGAAGGTTTCTACTTGAGATTTTTGTTTTTAAATGAAAGGTTATTTAAAAAAAAAACAACCCATATTTTTATAAATAATTAATTTATTTCATTTTAGCAATATGTGTAAATAAATTAATTATTTAATTTTTATATTTAGGATCAGGTGGAGTAATATGATTATTGCACGGGTGAATAACATTCATGTGCTGGTGCAAAATACTTTACAATTGTATAGAAAAATGGCAAGATAAAATAACATTTTATTATTGGAAGACTATTTTCCAGCTCCACAATTCTTAAATCTAATTGATAATACCACGTATTAGATGATTACATGTCACGTCTTAAAATTTTAACATGTCTGACATAAAATATATATATATATAAATTCATATCCCTAACGCTTTAAATAAAAAAAGTTCTAAATCAATGTATTAAGTTTTTTTTTTCACATAAATCAAAACATTAAACTTTTTATAAAATTTCTGCAACACCTCCTCTAAAGGTAGGATCTATCGAAATCTCTTCAACAAAAAATTTACAACATATATCCAACAATATAAAGCTTTGCTCCTCAGTCGCAAATAATTAACATAACAAAAAGAAACAGGACCCTAACTATAGTTGATGTGAAGCTCTCTAAATCGAACTTTTAAAAGATACTATATAGGTTTTTGAGTTTTACATGAATAAGATGATATTCTCAAAAATAATCTTCTAATCAATTCAATAATGAGTCCATCAGAGATTAGTAGAGAGTACGAAATCAGCTTTAGTATCTGAGACCAAATAAAATATTTTTCAGTAAATAATGTCCCAATAATAAATAATTAAACATGATTAAAAAGAAAAATTTAAAATAATTATGTAAGTCAAATAGACAACAATTTTCATAAAAATTTAATAAACTTTAAAATAAAATGACTCTATAAAATTTTAAAAAATCTTAAACTATTGAACTATCATAACAAATGTTTTTATCACTTGATTTTCAAAAAGCATATAAATGAAATAAATGGTTGTAAATAATTTACTAGATAAAAACTAATGAAATATAAAATCACCAAACAATCAAATTCACAAATTTTTAGTGACTTATTAGAACAATAAACAAACGTGGACACACACAATTCATGAGGGTAAATAATCAAACGCGGCTTATGCCACGAATACAAACATAGACACACAGTCCATGAGAATAAGTAACCAAATGCAACCGAAGCCACGAAACAAACATGGACATAGTCCATAAGGGTAATAATAATCAAACGCGTCTTGAAGCCACGAGACAAACATGAGTACGATGCTCACGAATAACCATCCCTCCGTTCCACGTGTGTTGGCCATTGCACGGAGTTAGCACCTCCTATAAACACCCTGCTAGCTAGGTGTATCATGGCACGCTAAGGGCTAACGGAATTGCCATTAGCAACCAGTGTTCTACATAAAGTCCTTTTCAAATTCAATTTCAAACATGCGAGAAATTCATCATTATTCAATCAAATTTTCTTTTCAATGTCGAACTCGCATGAATCATTTTTCCGTAGTAATTCAATAATTTTCAAAATGAAATCACATAATTAGAATTCAAACATGTATTTACTGATTAATAAAAATGATTAATTTTGGTAAAATAATTTCATGAAATAAAGTAATTTAATCAACAAAATATCTCATAATCACATTGTTGTCGTAAAAAAATTTGCATAAAAATATAATACTTGAATAAAGGATATTTTAATGAAATATCAGTTGGGACGCTATCCACTTACTTAAGATATTCTCAAGTACATAAATTACTCCTAACCCATTGCTTTTGTAATATTGTTTGATTCTAATTCCCTAACACCCAAGTGATATCATCGTTATTTCCTTTATACACATCACAAATCCAAAAATATATCACCCATTTTTTTAGCGAACACCTTAGGTACATCCCTTAACAAATCATAAAACAACATCGTAGTTTATAAATCATCAACAATAAAATTCTCAACATTCGATTTGTGGCATAATGATTTCATAATCAATTTCCTTTACAATTTTCAAGTTAACTACCATGAAATAACACCCTCAAATTAGTCATGCTTCTTATCATAATCAATGAAATTTTAAAAATATAAAATTAAACAAACTCTCCAAACACTATTTTATCAATCAAACCTTTCACAAGCATTATAATATTTAAATTTTAATACTAAGCTTTTCTCTTTAATTTTCATTCCAACAAATATCCAACCATTCTATAGCATCAACTCATCATACTTTCCAATCAAACACACACACAGCTACACGTTCAGAGAAGAGGAAGAATCAATGGCACTATCACGGTAACCAGCAGCGGACGGACGATAACAAAGGGAAACGGAAGAAGATTCGAAGACCCACAATTACACAGCCATAATAATGACAGTAGCAACGATGAACAGTGGAGGATCGTCTGATCTCTCTCTCTCTCTCTGCCTCCCTCTCTCACACACATACACTCCATGCCCTCTCTTCGGCGATGCACAGATGGACGAAAGGGAGTCCAAGACCAGACGCACTCACACCCATAGACGCAACAACAACTCTGTACTTGTGGAGGAGAAGCTGTCGCTCGAGCGAGGAAGAATGGGGGAGAAATGTAGCAACTCTGTCGAGCATGTGTTAACTCGTACTGTGTCACTGTGATGGAAGAAAAGCAAAGACGGAGAAGGAGGATGATGAGAGAGAGGAGAGGATCTGGGTTCTTCTAATGAAGTAAAGTATTGAGTCGGTGAGGGAGAGAGAAAAAGAAAAGAGAAAAATCTAAAGGAGGTAAGGGTAATCTAGTAATTTCATAAAACTATATTAAAAATAAACTCTCACTTTTGCTTTAGTTAGAACAGGACCTAAGGGATAAACCATCTGTGCACTTCCACTACACTAATATTCCTCCTTATTATAATTGCTCCCAACCATTAATAAAATACACTCAGAACAAATTATTATATTTAATTTATCCTTATTTTTATATTTATTTATTTTTCATTATTATTATATTTTTTTTATTTTCTTTTACTTATAATCCTAGAGTCATTACATTGCATATGGTGAAGACCTATAGCTAATTCAACTCAACTACATAGGTAACCTAATAAGGTTTTGAATCTTATCATTCTCATAAGGCTAAGTAGAATTTTACTCTTTTTTGTGAGATCTATCATCCTTTGATTGCTCATCAAATTCTTCGGGTGCCTATATCATACAATGATCCTAAGGACAAGTTTATCTGAAAAAATTCTCCCTATGTTGTAAAAGAAAGTTACAACTATTTGTTCTCTATGAACATTGTACCATCAAACCTTCAGAATATAAGTCTTTGGCCATCACTTGAAAACTCAATCTCCCATATAAAACATTGCTTTTTATTTGAAAGTTGGTTCATAAAGCCATTCCAACGGGAGATATTATGGTACATCACCATGTCCCGACATAAATACATTGTGTTTTTGGATGTGACAATGAAGAATCCTTGAAACACCTATTTTATGATTGCCCTTTCATAAAAGCCATTTGGTATGGCTCGCTTGGTATTAGAACTCATTAAATTTCTTCTGTGGGTGTCATTAATTAGATCATTAACACATTTACTAAGTTAATACTAGACAAGAGATTTCAAGTCTTGAAAGGGATCTTCTTCTTCTTCCTTCTTCCATGGTTCAAGAGAAATCAAGCGCTATAGGGATCTTTCAACTTTTCTCCTATGCATATAATCAAATAATTTCAAGGTTAGTTAGGTTTTCTCAAGAATGCATGCTTCAAGGTTATATAAGAACAAAGGATAATGAAGACAAATGAAAACAAGAATGACAAGATACTCTACTTGTGAGCGAACATTCCATCAACCTTCTTTCAATAGAAGAAAGATGGAAGTTTAGAATAACAAAGTTCAAGAAAAAGGAAATTACTTGTTATGGAGCTCAAATTTTGTACAACTTTGAAGAGCTTTGCAAATTCCTCATTAGGCGAGTTCTCACGAAAACTTCAGATATTTTAGAATGGCGTGCTTGTGAGCAATTCTAGTTTGGATCCTTGAATTTGTGGGCACATCAAAACAAATGCGTGGATTGGGTAGTCTACTGATTGAAATTCACCGAGAAAACTACAATTTGGTTGATTGCAAGATGGATTAATACATGTAAGGTGTAGTTTATTTTTTCAAGCAACTTGGCTCTATTCAAATGGTGAAACTTCACCATCAATGGCCAGTAGATTTCTTTTTCCACCATAATTTTTTTTTTAAATATTCAGCTATAAAACATTATGTTCTTATTTATTTAATCTAATCTTTTGACCTTCAAAAATAAAATAACATTTCTAGGTTTTTTTAGCCTAATCATGATCTTCATTAACATAAAAGGAAGAATAGATACTTCAATAACTAATGAATATTTTATTAGAGATCATGATTTGTTTATTATTTCAATTATCATTTTCCCAATCATTAAGCTTATGTGCACTTATTTATTAGTTGAGAATGTTGATTTTTGAATGCATTTATTAGTTATTTTAAGAGGTCAGGATAGGTTGATTCAACTCCTTCAAATAGTTGAATCAAGCACCTCTTAATTAAAACCCAAATGATTAGTAAATTAAAGTAAGGGCCATTTGAATAGATAAAAGTGTAAGGGCTAGATACTGACCTTCGTGTAATATAAAATTGCAACTACGTACTGTTTGTTGGCATCATATTCAATTCTAAATAACAAGAAAAAATATATAAATAAATAAAAAGAGCATAATCTAAAACTTGATAAATGATAACTGTTACGTTTGGCTTAAACAAAAAGAAGGTTATAATCGGGGGCACAAGAATGGATGTGTTCATAAACGAAGTCTCACATGTGAATGTGAATTGTGCGTCATCAAATAACCATAAAACCTAAAGCAAGTTTTTCCACATGCTTCTGTGTTACACGGCATCAACTAGACATTTCTCGGTGTACGAGAAAGCAGGGCAATTTTAAGCACTTGACAGAGTAAACAAGTAAGAAAGGATTTGAGAATAAACTAGAAGCGCATCAATGAGTCTGCAGGCTCAGAAAGAGAATGAGAATAAACAAGAAGAAAGCATAGTTCTTAAGCGCTTGATAAAACATTCATCAAACCGTGAGCAAAAATTATAGGGATTAGACTATAACAATCATCACTAGAGAATCCAGGGTGGCATGTTAGAAGGGCTTTTTTCTTCATAGGCCAGGGAGAGTGAATAGGATAAGAGGAAGTGACAAGCTTGTCATCAGCCTGTATTGCAGCACCCACTTGAGAAGCTATTATGAGCATGTTTGGCAATATGTTATGAAAATAGCTTTCTGCTCTTTAGAATTAAAAAAAATCTGTTTGATAATATGTTTTCAAAAAATATTTTGAAAAATAAAAAAATAAAATATTGTTTTAAAAAATAAAAAATGGAAATGTCTTTTAGATATTTTAGGATTGTTGTTCTGAAGAATAAGGGAGAATGAAAAAAAATACACATTTTCATTATATTTTATTCTTAGAACATGTTTTATAAAACACCAATTATTAAAATAATAAAATAAAAATAGTTTTAAACAAGTTTTATAATTCATTAATCTAAGTTTTCTTGTACCCCTTTCTCCTGCATAACGATTTCAAATTTTCAATTAACTGCCATAATCACACCCAATTCACATTCACAGTTCATAGACCTAGGCTTGCTTACTTAATACATGATGTTTTTACGTAGAAAAACGTTTCCTTTTGTATTGGATTTCTTTTAAGGGAGAATGATAGATAAATCTCAAGAGGATCAACTACTTTAAATTAGGTCCTAAGTGATAAATTTTAAAAATTTACAAGTTCATTTCTCAATTTTACAACTTCATTGCGATGAATTTAAAACTTATTTTTTAAATTTTAACATAGTTGAAGAATAAACAAATTTATCTTCCTTATTAAAATTTCAAACACATGTTACAAATTCAACACAATAAAATTGCAAAATTAAAAGCTGAAATTGTAAATTTCTAAAGTTTAACATTTAAAACTTAATTTGAATTAATTGAGACCTCTCTATCATTCTCCTTTTCTTTTCTTTTAATTAAACGTATGACTAAATGTGGAGAACAATTTTCTTTTCTCTTTTACAAAGTTTAAAGGGCAGTTTGAGTTAAATTTTAAAATGACTCTTACTTCGCACTTAAAATGTCCGGGTTTACTATTTTTCCTAATGTTCCGTACAACAAGTTCACTACGAAGTTGATCCATGAAAGATGACTCTAGATCAAGGATCAGTGTGATAGATTGATAGTCCCTCCGGCTATTTAATTCCTATTTCAATTTACGGAACCTTCCAGCAACCAATTATGAACACCATGGAATAACAATGATGTAGTTCATAACATCCAAAGTAATACCAAGAGTGTAGTTCATTGAAATCATACCAACTGTAGGCAAACCTGTACATTGGACTTTTTCTTCCCATGGCATCAACCCATTACAATTGAAATACCAGGATATATAAGAGAATCCACATAAAATCAAGTGAAAAAAAAAATGTCAACTTGTGTGAAGTCATATCCAAGTCGTCAGTTGAAGTGCTTTTTTCTTGACCGATCAGTTGAAGTTCATTTCATCTATAAGTTCGTGTTCCTGTATTTTCAGCAATACGGAAGATCTACCTCTGGAAGTTCCCAGTTATCATCTTTTTCATCATCACCCTTTCTCTTCTTAGGAGCTTGATCTTTATTTTGTGCTGGAGCTCTTGATTGTGGCCTCCTGATATTCATAATGACAAGTCAGGTCAGCAGACAATGTTTACTGGGAAATATATGAGAGAGAGAAGTTTTACACGACAAAATAAAGAAAATACGAAATAGGATTTTGAAAACGGAAATCAAAACCCAAATATTTACCCTCTTGGGATCAATGAAAAGCAAGGAAAACAAAGCTCAGCTTATCACAACTAGGATAAAGAGAATGACCAAAAATCCACGATTCATGCAAGGCTTCAAAGCTTCCGAATAGTATGATTTCTATGGCTTTTAATTCCACATAAGATATATCTAAAAATCAATCTTTAAACATCATTGGAACTTCAGTGCATCTAAACATAATATGAAAGGATAACTAGAGCTTTGGCAAGCAGCAAACCTAAAATGCTAAGCAAATATGGTTTTCCATACTGCAGGTCTATTGACTATTGAGCTGACCAAACCTTGATGGTTCTGTTTCTCTTCATTGGCATGCCAAGACACAACTCACAAAATAAGTACTTTCACGCCTCAATTATAAAATTCAACGTCAATTATGAAACTTCATTTCATAGCTGACAGCCCGGAGACTAACACAAGCCATTTCAACGGAAGTTCCAAACAAAAATACATCGCCATCAAGCCGTCAATGCCAAGCTTCTAAACCCAATAATTACCAGCTCTCATTACAAAAGGTCTGTTTGGTTCAAGGGGAGGGGAGGGGAGGTGAGGGGAGAGGAGGGAAGGGAGGGGAGGGGAGCTCCCCCCCAATTTGGAGGGGAGCCTTTGGAGGGGAGGGGAGAGGAGCCCCTTCCCTCCCCTCTCCCCCAACCAAACGGAGCCAAAAGGTGGAAAATTATGTATCTAGAATAGGTTCGGCTTTAAGAATCATGGAATGAAGCACTTAATGGCATATTCTACAATTTTGTCAATCTGTTTTCAACAACAACAACAACAACAAGCCTTATCCCACTAGGTGGGGAATAATAAATTTAATGAATAAAAGATATTCTTTAAATCTTAACAGAATAATTCCCAGTAGATAATAAATCTCCTTAGATAAATATATCCTAACATTCCCCAGTTTGTAACAGCTGGTATTGCTTGATTTGAAAAGTGAATCTCAATATGTCGCAACACTCCCCTCAAACTCAAAATGCCCTTGAGTTTGTAAGGACTTATATTGCTTGATCTGAAAAATGTATGACAGAGAGAGGCTTCAAAGAAAACAAATATAAACTAACTCATGAGTGATTCTCAAAGGAGATGGATCAATTAGCAAAAACTCAGCAATGATTATTGAAGGAATGAATTACTGAGCGGGAAACTCGAGAGTAATTCTCAAGGGATGAATCACTGAGTGAAATTTCAAATTGAACCATTATAACGAAGGTAGAGCTTTGCTATCCTGAACAAACTATCAAAAGCTAGATTAACTAGGTTCAGTTATCATGAAAGAAGTAAGGAAAGAAATAAAGAAAACTGGGAAAAGTGTCATTCTCAGGCTTACGATAGATAAATGAAACTAATAATAACTAAGAAATATGCTAATAATATCTAATGAATAGAAAATATTTTTCAAATCTTAACAGAATGATTCTCAGCCAATAATAAATCTCCCTAGATAATATTCTTTCTAGGCAGACGTGACTTTAATCTATTTCAAATGTAACTAGTTCAAACTGACTCCTAGATAGGTCTAATTAAAACAAAAATAAATGCACAATTTCAAAGTTAAGAACAATAACGTACAGAGAGTCAGAGTCAGATTGGAAACTGAAGTTTCCAAAATCGACAACCAAACACTTGGAATGAAACAAAGATCATGAATAAATAACATAGAAAAGAGCAATATCAACACCTCCTTCGGTTCTTTTTAGCAGCTTCTCTGGATTTCCTCTTCCTCTTGTCCTGTTGGCTTTCGAAAAATCTCCTTCTTTTACACTCTTGAAGCACACCGGCCTTCAGGACCTCTTTCCTGAACCGGCTAAGCAGCCTATCTTCGGGCTCATTATCGCCCACTATGACCTGAACATTATAAGCCGATTTGAAGAAAAGAATGTTTGAATACGCAAGTGCAGGGCATAAGATGGGTGAGTGATCACTTGCATGAAGAGACGAAAAAGACGGAGAAGATTCTGGGAGGTCGTTGGCTGTCACCATCGACGACCACCCTGATGAGGACTGCGAAAGACGGAGCTGTGAGGGGAAGCAATGGAAGCAGGTTGGACGCGGCCACGGTGAATTTGAAGGAAGCAAGGTGGGGAAGAAGTTCGAAAGGAAAGAGACGGCCATAACCTTGTATGATCTGAGGTTTGAACTTCGAAGAGTCGAGGCATGAGATTCGTCTCATTGAGAAGTTGGTCAGCTATTGAAGTGCGCTTTACATAGACAAAGATGGGCCTTCCGTCGACCTGTTCAGGTGGACCATGTTGGGCTTTGATAGGAACAGTAAAATTTTTTAAAAAAATTAATTGTTGATCTTTGGGAATTATTTTTTATTAATTTAATCATTGAAAATGCAATTTTTTTAAAAATTTATACTTTTGATATCCAAATATTTTACCCCATCAATATTATGAATATTTATGCATTGAAGTGATTCGTAGGTTATGAGATTCCATTTTTTATTTGAGATATCAATTCGTTTGGAGATGTTTTTAAAAAATAAATGAAAAATTATATTTTGAAAAATTTAAAACTGAAAAATATGATACTTAAAAATTGAGAAACTTTATATCTTTGAAAAAAACTGTTCGGACAATAATAAATTTATTATTTAAAATTTTTTAACTGAATCTCCACAATTTGAAAAATAGTTAATTCAATTACTGCGATTTGCTAGTAAATTATATTGTCCACTGAAACATCAGAAAAGGGAATTAAAAAAAAAAAATATAGTTGGACTTGGAAATCATTTGAAATCTATACATGAGCATCGTTAGAATCCTATTTACAAATACAGATAATAAGAGTGGCGGTAAAAAAGGACTCAGGAGAAAATTGAAATCCTGCACAATTAGATTAGTAATTCCCGCTTAATTAGTAGGGAATTTTATTTGTCACCTTGGAAGCATTGGAAGCAAGAGAAAGACTTGCCTTAGTTGAACTTTTTATTGACTTCAAAGCTCTTGAAGTTTGAAGAGTTATCTCTCCATAGAGTTGAATGCATTTCATTTAGCATTGAATAAACTAGCTACAGGCCAACCCGCATGGGTTGCCATTTTTTGCAGGCTGACGTAACATAAAACAAGTTAGAAAATCCAACTTAACCTATTTTTTGGTGGGCTGGTTGACCCGCAGAAATTCATTAGAAATTTTTTAATAATTTTAAATTTATATAATATAAATATATATTTATTTCATATTTTAAAGCAAATTAAAAATTAAAGAACTTGTAAATAAATAAAATGAATATAAAATTCAATCAAGCAAATTTATTATGTTAGATTTTTACTATTAACCATCTTATTGCCTAGGTGTGTTATCTTTCTCATTGAAAAAAAATTAAATATAAACCCATATTATTTTTCTCAATGAACTCATATTTGTGATTTCAATCAATAGATTTTATGAAATTAAAAAATAATATATATTTAAAATATTTATATAAAAACTAATAAATTATCAATTTACAAACTATAATAAAAATTTTATTTGTAAATTGTAAAAAATATTTACATTATCTTTCAAATATAAAGAATATATTTGAAAGTTATAAATTATATATTTGTAAAATATTCTTATTATTATAGATTTATAAAAAAATATAATATAATTAAAAATAAAAAAATATTTTTTTAAAAAATATGTTAGCTCATTTTAGCTTGCTAGTTTTATGGGTTGGACTAGCCCAACTCATTTTAAAAAATAAGCTAATTTATTCAACTTAACCCATCAAATTTGGTGGGTTAAACAGATAAGCCTGCAGGTTCAATCTATTTTTTCGACTCTAATTTCATAGTCATCTATGGTGAACCACCAAATTAAATATAAAAAAAAAAAGAGTAGCTTTAGAAGTAAAGTCAAAATTAGAAAAAACCGAAGAAAAGAATTTTGGAGGGCACAAGATTGTAGATATTTTTTTAATCTTCTAATTTCCTTTTCTTACCATAAATCATGCTCTATCTGTGTCTGATTTTTTTTAATCTTCAAGGCCTGCAGAATGCACATATATATATATATATATATATATATATCAATATTTCCTTCCAACAAGGCAGTTGCAATGTAAGTTGGGTGAAGAGCGATCACGATGCGTGCGGCTGCAAAAAGAGCAGCTCTTCTCATATATGCTTCTTTATGATGGCATACCTCCTTCAATATATATGTAATTTTGCATGGATTAGCTTGCTAGCATAACATGGTGAACCAACACATCACGTGCATCTTAATTATACTAGATGAACGAATAACGCAAACTTCTGTTGGTGAGATAGTAATTCTAGACTATGCAAAGATTAAAAATAAAATATTTTATATTTAAAAAAAGTTTTAAAATGTAAGGAAAAAAATCAATAAAAAGCATAGGGAAAAAGAGAGAGGAAGGAAGCAATGAAGTATATATGGAATGTGTGCATAGAGGTTTCATCAAGTCCCATATCAAAAATATTTTTTTAAAGATAATGACATAACTTTTATTTTAAAAATTGAGAAAGATACCCAAATAAATATAAAGCACTAAACACTTTTTGAAGATTTATTTAAGCTAAATAAAAAAAATAAGTATAGAGAAAAATAGAAATAACTAATAGGAAGTGCAAAGATTAAAAAGATGTTCCCATGCTTTTTTTTAAAAAAATTAAAATGTAACATAAAAATAACCAAAAAGAACAAGGGAAAAAAGAGAAAGAATGTAATGAGTTATACATACTGTAGGTACATGCCTATTTCCTCAAATCCCACATCAAAAATATATTTAAAAAATAGTTTAAATGCTTGATAATATGATACATGTGTTTTTTTTTTGGAATATGATACATGTTTTAAGAATATAAGATTATTCTTCCTTAATGATGAATTTTATTTAAAAATTGAGAAAGATATCACTAAAAATGTAAAGCAATAAGCATTTTTGAAGACATATTTAAACTAAATAAAAAATTAAGTTTAAAAATATAGATAAATAATAGGAGATGCAAAGATTAAAAGATGTGCTTATATTTAAAAAAACTTTGAAATCAAAGAAAAAATCAACAAAAAGCAAGAGGAAAAAAGAGACGGAGAAAGAATGTATTGAGTCATAGAATGCATTGAGTTATATATTGTGTGTGTGCATGGTAGTTTCATCACGTCATCCTGCATCAAAAAAAATATTTTTAAAGAAAATACAAGATGATTATTATTTAAAAATTGAGAAAGATATCAATAAAAATATAAAGCAATAAGCATTTTTTTAAGGCATATTTATGCTGAATATAAAAGTCAAGTTTAATAAAAAAAATATTGATAACTGATAGGAAGTGAAAGGATAAGAAGCTGTGTTTATATTAAAAAAAACTTTAAAATGAAAGAAACGATCAAGAAAAAGCATGAGGGGGGAAAAAGACAAAAAGAATGTAATGAATTATATATGATATGGGTGTGTGCATGGTAGTTTCATCAAGTCCTACATTAAAAATATATATATATTTGTAAGAAAATAAAAGATGACTTTTGTTTAAAAAATGAGAAAGATATCATGAAAATTTTATGCACCAAACACATTTTCTAGTCAAATTTAAGCTAAATAAAAAATATAATATTTTAAAAAGATATAGATAAATAATAGGATGCATAAAGATTAAAAAGGTGTGCTTATATTTAAGAAAAGCTTTAGAATATATAAAAAAAATCAACAAAAGCATAAGGAAGAGAGAGAGAGAGGAAAAATGCAATGAGTTATGTATGGGTGCGTGTGTGCATGGTGGGTTACATACAAGTAACAAGGGGAATATATTAGGTTATATGTAGATATGAGGAAGAATTACCAATAAACTCACATGATCATCTCAATCAAACTGGTACAATTTCTTTAGGAGATATGGGCTATGACCTCAGCATTGTTATAAAAGGAACAATGAGACTTAATTTCTATTTCAACAAGTGATTTTGAACTTTGTTGTTGCCGATTGCCGATCCCAAGAGAAGTTGGCTTTGCCTTCAAGTTCACTGATTTGTGTGAACTCCATGAAGCTTTGAAACAATCTTGCGTGCTGTCAAGAGATTTTAAAATTGGCTCCAAAATAAAGGATATTACAATTGAAAAGTACAAGCAGAATTACAAATTTCAACCAAAAAAATATAATTTCAAAACTTATTTGCACATAAACTCTCACAAGCATGCAGAAAGCAGCTATTGTTGGCCATCCTCATCCTTTACAATTTGCCCAACAAACTCAAGCCTCTAATTACTAACACAATCTTTTGTAATTGAAAAATGTACTTGAAGAAATCGAAACCTCACCCCTGCTTAATCTCATTTGAGATAACCCCATCAGCAGCAACAACGATGAGAAGGGAGGAGAGAGGAAAAACCTAAATAAAAGAATAGAGGCTTGCAAAACATAATGACCCTTTAGTGGAAATGAAAATGAGAATAAGGCAACTTGAAACATGGGCATCTTATCATCTTCTCCCTTTGCTTGAATCAGAGCCAGTTTCCAATCGTCCCTTATTAGCAGCACTGTACCCTTTTGGTTCTCATTCAGTTGAGAGCCCCTCCGATGTCCCGTGTCTCTTTCACCAAGAATCCACCCTATCTCGCACAGTGGCAACTGGAGAGAGGAACCGCTTAAATTAAACCATTTGTCACCATCAAACCCTAGATGAAAAAGAAACCACCCAAGATGGTGGTGGAGACCTCTCTAGTATGAAGAGAAAAACACTCACACCAAGAGTGGAACTTTGATGGGTGAATCGGAGAGTTGGGAAGAAGAAAGCCCAGTATTTAGGTTTCCGTCAGAATTGTTGTGTTCCATGTCAAGAATGATGAAAAAAATCTTAGGAAGAAACGATGTGAAAAGTGAAGAATATTTTAGCCGTTGAGCGTTGGGGAAAAACACTCTCTCCTTATTTAAAGCCGGTCACAACCAACCTAGCAAAAAAAAATAGCAAAAAAAAAAAACAATATAACATAAAATGTGATTTTTTTTTGTTTTTGCTTAATCAAGATATTTTCCATTCACCATTAATTAGACTAGAAGAGAAAGTTGGGAGATGCAACAGAGGGATTTGAACGTTAGAAAAACAAAATCTCTTCATTTATTAAAGCCGGTCATAAATAATCTGGCAAGAGAAGAAAAAGAAAACAACATAACATAAAATATTATTTATTTATTGTTAAATGTTGCTTAATCAAGATATTTTTCAGACGTGGATGATCATGTATTAGTCTTGAAAACATACACAAGTTATTTAACCTTTGCATATATTTATTATTTATTTTGTACCTATACCTATATTAAATCATCATCATCATTACTACTATAATATTATGATATAATATAATTTACCATTTTAATTTTATTTTGTAAAAATATTTGGTGTTGATTTTATTTTTGAAATCTATTATTGGTTCTGTTTTTTTCCTTTGTTTCTGATTATTTTTTTATTTTGGTTGATCTTCTCCTATGATTCTGATTTGGTTTTGATTTTGATTAATTTAACCTAATTCCTTTATTGTTATTTGTTTTTATTCTTTCCTTTTACTTTCCTCTGGATTTTTTTTCTTTTGCTGCTTTCTTTTCTTTTATTTTATTTCGTTTTTTAAAATTATTTATATGGATGTCAAGGATAAGTGAGGAAGTATACTGGTCATTATCCATGACCAAAACAATGTTAACTTCAAAAAACCGTTGATCTATGTCTATTGGCTATCCTCTATGTCTATGCACTTCACAGTATTATAATTATATAATTTATTATATTATATATTTAAAAATAAAAGCAAAAAATATTTTATTTATAATTTTTTACTAGAGTATATCGCCACATAATTTAAAATTTTAAAATTTATCATTTGTATTGGTGTGCAGTAGTTTTTAATTCAAGCATGTTCTAGATAACAACGGCACAAAATTATTTGATAATTTGTTGCCTGCATATATTAGAGAATTAAAGGTAAATAAATAAAATTATCTTCTAAAATTTAAATCCAGTAATATCATAAACTCTTAACTCATTTATTATATAAATTATTTCTTAAACTTTTAAAGTGGTGCAATCTACCTTCTGTTATTAATAAGATTTAACTTTAACAACCTGTTGAACCAAAAAAGATCTCAAAAATTATAGAAAAGGCCAAAACTTATAATGAATTATTCAAAAATTATAGATAATGGCCCAAAAAATTATAGACAAGTGACTAAAAAAGATTGTGGTGCTTTTCTATAATTTTTGAAGTTATTTTATGATCAATTAATAGTCAAAATTAATTTTTATTAACAGTGGATGCTAGATTACACTGTTTTTAAAAGTTGAGAGAATAATTTGTAGAAGAAACAAGTTTATGGCTAATAGTGCTGTGGAATTTAAAATTCAGAAGATAATTTGCTTATATATCCAATATTAAAAATTTAAACAATATATTTTATTATACAATGTATTCCAACACACACCTCCATTAATTTTATATTATTAAAGTAGTAATAAATATTTTTAAAACTACATAAATAAAAATATTTAAATTTATAATTTGTTACTCCTTTATTTATTAAAAGTTGGGATAGTAAAATTTGTTATCCATCCATGCTGTCTCAATTATCAATTTGATCCTCAAGTTTATTTTTTATTGATTTGATTCCTCAAACTAGCCTTGGTTATCAATGTTATCCTTATTTTTTGATTACTCTTAAGTATCCTTTTATTGAAGGTAATTCTATTTGAGATACGATAGGGGTGCTAATGTGAGCTACTTTGCCAATGAGTATTCAAATATTAGTTCGCACATTTTAAGGACCTCTTTTGGTAGACCTAACTTGTTGGTAATTTTGTCCTCATATAATGTTATTAAAATTTGCTGGCATGCATAATGAAATATTGATAACAATCATGTAAATTAATAAAAAGAAGCATAATTATCTATATGAGAAAAAAGATTCTAAATTTTTTTAAAAAAATAAAAGAACAAAATATTGTGTAAGTGACTTGTTTAATAAAAGTTAAACTGATTTAAAGATTAATTTATTCTCATTTAATTACATCTATATGTCAAGCTATCAAAATATTTTATGCATTATTTTAATTTGAGGGTAAATTTGTTTTTTAAAACTTAAAGGAATAATATAATAATTTTAAAAAATATTAAGCATTGAATCAATAAAAATTAAATTTGAGAAATCAAATTGATAATTGAGACTAATTTGGAGGACTAAAAAGTTTTATTATCCCTTAAGAATTTATATAATGCAATAAAAACGTAAATAACACATTTTTTTTCTCCCAATGCTATGTGTTTTAAAAGTGATTCGAAAATTCAAAACTAATCTTAAAACTACATAAATAATTTTTTTTAAAATGATATCTTAAAATCTAGATAATAACCCTTTTCATTCTATATATTTTTTACTGTATAGCATATTTTATTCTAAAATTTATTGACATATATAGATTAAAGTATTAAAAAATAACCTATTTTATTTTATAATCTTTTATGCTTATGCATATTAAAAACATGATATATTTTATTCCACAGTCTTTCACCTTGTATAATTTTAAATATATTCTAAAAATTATTTGATAATGATATCATGCATATATTCAAATTTTAATATCATATTTTGATTTCAAAATTCATTACCCTATACATAACGTGTAATTATAAGTCATTCAAAAAATTGGTATCTAATTTTTAAACCCTATAAATAAAAAATTGTCAACATAATGTAGTGGGCTTTCCTGGTTCCGTTCAACTTCGGCGGCATGGTTTGAAGCACTGCTCAAGGAGGAAGATGAAGTCCTATTAGATACCACCCAATGCCTCACTTGGTGTGTACTTAGTTTTTAATTTGTTAAAAATTTATTGTTAAAAGTTCATTGGATAAAAATTACTTTAATAAAAGTCAATTGCTGTAATAAAATTTATATTTATATATGTTTTTTTAAAAATCAGTTTAATAAACTAAAAATTGTTTAGATTAATGATAATTTGTACTTTTGAAATTTATTTTAAAATATGTAATGATAAAAAAAATTGATTTATGATATTTTTTGTTATACAAATATAATGTGTTGGAAATGTTTAAAAAATATGAAAAAATTTAAAATAACATAAAATTTAATATGTTAAATAAAAAGAATAAAAAATATATAGTTTAATATTGTAAAAAATTAAAACAAAATAAGGGTATCACGGTCATTTATAAAAGTAGGCACAACCCAACCGGCACTTATAATTTCAAATTTACCAAAAAGTTGAGTTGTCAAATCTACATTTTAACCACATTTCAACCCACTTTTAAGAAATTATTGTGTCCATGTTAAAAATATCCAAACAATATTTAACATTTGGAATGTTAAAAGGTGGATCTGAAATGCTAAATGGTGAAACCCCAAATGCACCCTTAGCAATTTGCTATAAGTATTCATAACTTGTCTAGAATACGACGTCTTTCGATTTGTCGATGACTGATGAAAGCAATTTTGATAATGGGTCATCATCAAGTGGATTCACCTGGCAGAGTAGTTCTCCGACGAACTTATTCGAGAAGGATGTTTGATGGGCAAATTGATCAAATTATGAAGTTCTAAAGTAAAGCTCGGCTCTTTAGGCATGGGTGTAAAACACAATTTCATTAAATTTGATGGAATTCACTTATCTAGAGAACCCTCTCCATTCACACCAAACACAAAATTATAGATTTTTCTTCCTTACACATTTCTCCTTAAAATTCATTACTACCAAACAAGCCATAAGGCGTAAAAAAAAAAAATGATTGACATAAAAAAGGTCACTTGCAATGAGCATAGCATAAAAAAGGTCAACAAAAGGATGACTATAATAACACCTTAAATTTTTTTTTTTGGGGGGTGGGGGACATTACAAGGAAAAGAAGAAAATAGAAGGCACAGCATTACAACAACAGAACATATATTACAACAAAAGCTTGATGGTGAAAAGGTTATTTTCTCCAGCATAAAGATGATCAAATAGCATCTTCTTTCACCGAGTGCTTACTCAATTCATCAACAACTCAGGACGGGGAAGAGTGGCTAAACCACTGCCATGTTCAGTTTCTTTCGGTTACACTCAACCAGAATTCTCCACATTTCTCTCCTAGCAGGCAGCAAACAGAATCTATTCGGAGGAAAAGCTAACATCAATACTTGCAGCACATCCTCCAACCTCGTCCAATCATTCACAATCCAAGACACTGGCTGGAACAGTTTAATCTGCAGTAAGTAAATCCCGCACGACCAAGAGTAAGAAAATGTAGTTCAGCAGATGCAGTGGCAAAAGCAAATTAGGATAGTAACTTTGAGAGATCAGGAATAAGAATTTCGCAGCTTAGCATTTCATTGAAGCGACCAAATAAGTAGTCACATTTTAAAGGACTAGGACTTTGGGAACAATATGCAGGGTTTAAAGTGCAGACGGGTGAATGGAAAGCTCAAGCCCGTGGTTTGGAGTTAAGAGGAAAATGCACTCAGAATGCTGCGCATTAAAAGAAACAAAAGAACAAACAGATCTAAGCAAGTAAACATGTTTGGGTGGACAGTAATAACGAGAATAAGTCTATGGCAGTTGATTAAAAAATGCAAACATTGTGGTCAACTAATTTATGTTTGATTATGTAACTCAAATAACCAATGTAAAAAAGCAAAACCAAAGGACCGATCACAAGGATCATAAAGGGAATAAACAATACAGCTAGAACTTACACCAAATAAAGAAATGAATAAAAAGATTAACACTTCTAGTTCAATAGTTCAGGTTACTTTACTTCCGAACTAATTTGTTTGAGTCTCAAGATAACTCGGTAAAAAGTCCTGAAATTTTGCCCTCCCTCTTTTTGCCAGTTCCTTGTAAGAAATAAAATCAATCTTCCTCATTACTTAGAAGTTATCACAACAGTCTAGCCAATTCTGTCATGTACTAAACCAAAAGGCAACCATTTAAAAGACATTAATAATACCAATCATGATGGCTTTGTTTTTCGCTCCACTTTTGTAATGCGTCTAAGCTCTTGAGTTCGATTCTTCATATCTCTGCAAATTTCCCAATAACATTACAAATTATTGCTGAAAAATTCTCAGTTCATTCAACAACTTTATAGAAAGAATGCTTGCCTTTGTACCAAATAGACAAAAAGATAAAACACAGGAAGTAGCACCAAGGTCAACGCTCCAGAAGCCAAATAGAAGATACTCTTTTGCTTCTGCAGCAAAAAGAAAAAAAAGAAAGTACCAGGAGGGATAATTAATGGCTTTGTTAATACATAATAGCATGCTATAATGACTTAGCTATAATTAACCTAGAAATTTTCAGGAATTTTGATATGCTGGGATTGAAAGGTAAAGACCATGCTTGATACTTGTAGACCTTCCTAGGATAGAAGTACTGCTTGCATGTTTAAATTTAGAAGTGGATAAGAGCTACCCTAAAGAACCAAACAGAAAATGCAATGATATATAATTGCAATAAAAGGAGGAGATAATTAGAGTTAATCAATAAATAGAGGGGATTGGGTAGATATATAATTAGATTTTAATCATATTGAATTGAATGGAATGGAATAGACTCTCCTATTTTTTCTCTTCTCTCTGTTTCTACTCTCCTTCTGTCTCTCTCCTTTAACCTACCCCTCTTCCTCTCTCTATCACTCTTTCCTACTCTTTCTGTCTCTTCCCTATTATATTTCTAAACAGAGGGAAAGTTTATTCCATTCAACTCAATATGATTCTCACAAAAGCTAATTACAACCTATTTAATCCCCTCCGTTCACCCAAGGCAATTAACTAACTCTAATTAACTCTCCCTTTTATTACAATTATGTTTCAGTTCATATGAGGTTTTTCTCCCCGGAAGTGCTTCAATAGAATGGATAACACCTAACAATGTGGATAATTTATGACAAGGAGTATAAAGCCACGAATCTTTCAAAGCCATTACAAATTAGTAGTGACAACTTTCCAAGTAGAGACATTGAAATAAATAGGTGTTTTAGTAATGCAATTTAAAAAGAAGAGAGTTGGATCTTAGCATCTTACCCTGCCACCTCTAACGAAGGGTTTCTGTTTACCTGAGCAGGTGTGGGCATCACAAAATTGGTGCAGAAACAATTCTAACAGCAGACCATGACATCATCATGAGAAACAAATTAAAACCAGTGAAAACACAGATAGAACACCTTCAGAAATTATAAGCATACCATGAAGGCGGCTTGCTGAGAGACCCCCATTTAAGGGAAAACAAATATCTGCAAGACTCTGTAAACAAATTGTGGACATGGATTGGGTTGAAATATTCAGCATTAGTGAACAGTGCCAAAATGCAGGCGAACCAAAAGGCTATAAAAAAAAAAGGAGCAACCTCACATAGGTGACGATTTCTCCCTGCAGCTGCCGGATTACACTTGGTTTTAGAGGTCTTAGTATAAATCACAGCATCACAATGCAATGCCCCGCATAAATCAGCAAGGCACTTGCCATGACTCTGCATTTAAATGTAGCAACAAAGAAGTCAAGCTTAAAAACAACAAAGCTTTCAACAATTATGATGTGATATCAACTGTAGCAATGCATTCAAGGAGAGCTTGAAGCTTTTCTCCAATGGGCATAAAAAGATTTTGATATAACCCTGCTCTGAAATTAAATTCTCAACAGCAAAACAGAACCAAGAAGTAATAAATGAGGGAAATTCTGAAGTTTTGCTATTAATGAATAAATAGAACCGAATCAGTGTTGCAAAAGGATTTTCCACTGATTCTGGCCAAAACCCTATTCCCTATCAATAAACAAGATACACTGAATATAAACCAGCAATACATAACCATAACAAGTCTCTCATTGGTGTTCGAAAGACCAGCATTCTCCTCTCAAAACATTCTCTGAGTGCCCTTCCAAAACACAACGAAATAGTAATGTAAGCCAAAAGGTGACCCTAGCATCTAAGCTGAGTCTACAGCCACACCACCCACATCATTACTTACTCCTGATTACCAGGACCCTTCAGATAATCACTTTGATCTGCTGGATCCTTCTTCTTTGTCCCCTGTTCCCCCCTCAATTTCCTCTTATATGTTTTTACAAATTTTCCAGCTCTATCAGATTTCAATACCTGTGTACGCCATTTGAATGAGAATTTGTTGTACAGGAAATGCATATAAAACTAGAATGAGTTTTTGACATCCTCCCACAGATTTGTCAATATATTCTTTCTCAAGATAAAGGGGGAGGGGGGAATGAATGAGTGGTTTGTAACAAAAAGTCTTGAATTATTGTGTTTGGCCATATATAATATAACTGAAGTATCACAACTGACTGTTAAAGGAAACAGTATATGATCAGCCACAAAAATAGGTCCCAAATAGAATACTGAAATGACATTTAGATATGACAGAAATGAACAATAAATAGAAATCTGAAATGAAACGTAAGGGGGGGGGGGAAGAACACTGAGAATCAGTGTCAGCTGTAAAGGCAACATCAACAATAAAAATCAGATACAGAAGAATCAGAATACAGAGAGGAAATCAAGAGTCATGGCGTCAAAATCTCCTTGGTTTGGACGTCTCAGCGTCCATGAGTAGATAAATAAACTCAGCCAAAAATTTTAGAAAAATAGAATAAAGGGAAAATTGATGTTATGGACCTGCTAAGATAATTATTTTCCATAAGTAACCATTAATCAGTAGTGTCATGGCTCTTGACCAAATTAAATACACTAAGGCTTAATGGGCCTTTAAGGATTTATATCATCTATGGCAAGTAATCACAGCCAATCTTCCTTACACTAAACTCATCTAGCTGAATGAGAAACATAAAGATGAAAGCTTGCACTGCACGTGTTAAATGAATGATTCAAACACAATGAGACAGGGAACGAGAAACTACATACTACATTTAGAAGATTGTGGTGTCTGTTATCAAAATGCTGATCAAGAAATTTTTCAGCACGGAAGCTTTTCTTACAATATCCACACCGCCATTCATTTATATCAATATAAATTTTATGCTCTTCCTGATCCCTGAATATATTATAGTCGGGACGAAGTCTGCATTTTGTCGGGAGCTGATAGTTTTCTCGCTCCACAAATGGCATCAAATACTACAAAACCAACATAAGCAACATAATCATGGAGGTGGACGTTCAAAATGCACTCTTCATACTGTACAGTGTAACAATGATGACAGAAAAACATTTGATACCTCCTCAATTATTTTTGAAGCTGCCCTACTTCTTTCTCTAGAGCAATGTACTTCATGAGCGTGCTCTTGCCCATGTTTATTATGCCTGCATGATAAATCATATCAATTTGGGCATAAGATTGGATGACGAGGCCACTTACAGTCCATGAAGAGGAACAGTGCTAGACGGCAAAGATAAATGCCAAGTATCATAATGAGCTAAGAACGAAACTCAAACGTATCAGTATCAAAACCATGTTATGAAAGTTAAGCGATGAAACGTATTGGGTGTTGAGCAGTAACAATAATTGCTGCTCATTCTCATACCTTCCACCAGCAGATCCCTCATAAACCTGGAGCAAATATTTCAAAGATGGAACAAAGCAATGTCAGCTTCGCATCTCTAGGCAATAAACCACACGCACAAGTGAAAATGAATATGATATATTTCTTGCAAATCCTAATTAACCTAAAGATATCTTAGACTAACGATGTTGAGCTTGGAACCCATATGTCACCTCTATTGCATAATTAAATTTCACATAACACGGTTTGCAAAATTCCAGAGTAGCCAATACTGATGACGAAATAAACCACAGATAATTTTCTTGCAGCAAAATCATTATTCAACAAAACTCCAAGCTTTAGTCCATCATAACTGCGCAGCCAATTACCAAGTCATCGTATTCGTAGAGACAGCATAGTATAAAGATAACCTGGCTTTCATGTAAGAAAGGCGACGATGAAGAAACATCGACGATCTCAATAGAAATCGTTATTAAGATGAAGAAAATTGAAGCACTTGTTGTGGCCCTCTTCATCTGCCACGCACTCTTACGATTTGAACGCCGGCCCCCTCTTCTGCAAAATGGTTTCCTCCGTAGGGCCGGGACGGAGACATTTAATTAGTGGATTTCAGGCCAATATGTTTTGGATTTTTTATGCTCCGAGAAATGCCAAATTTTCGCGAGGTTTTCGAGTAACTGTCAACAGGCATTTGATGGCGAAAAAATTAAATCTCGCGTATCCAATTTTTCTTGTTCTTGCAAAATAGACATAGATATATCATGTATTGTAAGGGGGAAAAAGGCATGGTTATATATATGTTCGCTTGATTTTTGGTGAAGAATCAAAGTGTCATGACCCTTTGAATGTAGGCATGTTAAAAAAAAGTCTCCTTGAAAGTAAATTGCCATCAGATAATTCAAAGAATTCTCAACACCTTTTATCATAATTTTTTAAAAAAGTCAATTGACTTGCAAGAGCAATTGCGATGAGTTTACCACAAATGAGCATCAAATTCACTATGATTACTTGATGAAGTAAGTACAATGAGATGTTTTTGTAATAAAGTGAAGTAAATAGATTGAAAAAATTACCTTAAAAACAAAGTTTATATAGAGAAAACAAGTCACACAAGGTGAGGTTAAAAACAACATACGATCAGGATTTAAATAGTTTACATTGCGCAAATATTAAGTAAATATAGCAAAGTGTTTGGAATCTTTAACTACGTGCTTGCTGCTTATTTATAACAAATGGCAACAATGTGCTCCCATTTGAATTTGGCACTTGGTACTAATGAGAGTAGAAAACCATCTTTGCCTCAAACTGCTTAAAGGTGTTTAATCATGTAATGTTGGCGAGTATGGATGTACTAAAATGCTTGAGTAGTGGGAAAAATGCCCACAACTCAGTTAACTTTCCCTAAAACATTTTGCTTCATATCTTCACCTAGTTGTATTACAATTGGGTAGAAATCCCCCCCCTTTTTTTTTTAGGCTTGTGCTTCATGGACTTTTTGCTTTTAGGTGAAGTGCTCCAGATTTAGTATAAATAATATATTATTTAAAGCAACATCCAATTCAAAATAGATATTTAAAACTATACAATTTATAAAATTCATTTTAAATTTAGATGCGTAGGCTTGGAATTGGAATGAAATAATACCAGCTTAAATTTTTATATGCATGGAGCAATATGCATGCTTAATAAGATATATATTTATATTTAATTAATAAATTAACTCATTAAGCAATAAATTAAGCAATAATTTTTTAAAAAAAAAACAAGGGTAAGAGTCTTCTCGTGTAGGATAGGTGGGTGTATTGAACTCAATTTTGGATGCCACATGGCAAAAAAAAAAAAGGTTAACACAATTTGTTCAGGTAAACAAATAACAACAAACAAGCAACACGTGAAGGACAAGGTAAGGTAATGGGAGATTAATTTTTAAGAATTTAAAAATAAAAATAATTTAAAATTGAGTTTAAAATAACGACAGCCCTGTACAAAAAGTTAAATAATATAAATAATCCTTGACTCAAAAAATTATAGCATGAATGCTATGACAAGGCATATACATCAATAAAATTTCCATGGCAACTTACGAATAATATTTTTGCATTCTTCTCCTAAATAAGAATACATACAGGCTTACTTTATTACTCAAATGCAAAAGAGATCCTCGGCATGCAGGTGCTCATAATTTCTCTGAGTATTTAACTAAGCCATTGTAACTTATTTTATTTTAATCAAATTTTTATAATCTGACAGATTAAATATATTGATCTCTAAAAATTAATATTATTAAATTTTTCTGTTTAAAAAAAGAAATTAAGAACTTTTATATTTTTATCAGAATATTATATAGCTTTTTAACTACTTATATAATCTCTATAACTCGACATTTATATAATTTGGTAATGTTTTCTATTTAATTTTTATAACAGTATAATTTTCATAAAAAATTAACAAAAATGTAAATATTATATTAAATCACATTTTATTCTTTTTGTTTCTTGCCAAAAGTTTGAATCAAATTTTATATAATTTGGAAAGTGTTTTTTTTTGGAAAAGTTAATGATTCATTAATATTTTTCACTTTTATGATTAATATATTTATTTGATTAAATGATAAGGACTTGATCAAAAATAAAATAAAATAAGGAGACTTCATTCAAAATCAAAGGAAAGGACTTGCAAATTGATTTTCCCAAATGTAAAACTATACAAATGAATACAAAGTAATGTAGATGTTTATAAGCATGATATGTAACACACCAAAATTTTTTTAAAAATAATTTAACTCAACCATAGTTGGGTTACAGCCACCTAACACATTTTTATATCAATAATTTTAATATAAAATATTTTATAATTGGCTTCAACTCACACACTATAACATTTCAGATAAATTTTTACCTCCCACATGCTATTAGGCTAAATCACATTAGTCCATCCTTATACTCCAAACAAGTAAACTAAATCACATTTGTCCATCCTTATACTCCCAACAAGTAAAATAAGCAATTTAGTCAATTTTCAACACAAGCCAGTTATTTGACCTTATAATCATGCCATTTTAATCAATCCAAAGTAAATCTAATATTAAAATTATAGTCATCCAAATTGTACCAAAAATAGAAATAGTTTGAAAGGATGATTACATTTATATATTCATATAATTGACAATAAACAAAAAGCCCTAATATTGGCAATATAACACATTATAAATCATAAATTAAATACCCAAAAGAGACAGTGGATCTATACCACTAAGCCTCTGGGACTCCTCCACGTGTCACTCATGGCTCTTCTCCTGAAAATTGTTAACCACATAATGAGACTCAAAAGTCCCAATGACCAAAACCAATTTATGATAGTGTATACAAACAGTTAAGTGTGTGCTTACTAAGTAGAATTAAAAATAATATAATTCCAACAAATATAAGAAATATTATAATAAACACAAACAACCATCCTTATATCCCTCCATTAACCTCGAGCCGTAGCCCTCACTCGGTGCTAAATTACCCGACCAAAGGTAGATTAGCCCGAGCCCTTACAAGCCACCTATTGAGCTCCAATAGGGGCGTACCACGTGGCACATAAATACAACAATAATAGCAAGTCTCCCAACACCTCCCACAATAATTAAACAAATTCATAATAATATTGCACAATTATACAATATTACAAAATTCATAATTTTCTCATTAATCACCTAATTAACAAGAAGTAACACTAATCACAAATTAAAAGCATGGTTACCTTGTGGCTTTTTCAATAAATTATTCCTTAAAATTTCTCTCTCACCACAATCTTCACCAGTAATACAATCTACAAATAACATATTATTTATAAATATTAGTTTCAATTTTTGAAACTAATAAAATAATTCTAATAATAGAATTAAAAATATAACATAATTTCTAATCTCAATCTTAATACAAATCTATAGTTAATACTATTAAGTAAAATTTTTAAATCCTCTTTTAATTATCAATAAACATTAATAATCTAAAAATCAAATTTTAAACTAATTTCTATTATCAAAATTTTCTTTTTATTTTATAAATTCGTACCTAAAGTACCCAAAAATTAAAAATTAAGTCTCTAGCTTAGAATCATAATCCTATAACCATAATAATTCATTTCTCATCCCAAATAATCATCTAAACCTCAATAAATCAACATATATTTTCAGATCTAGTTTAGAATTTGATCCATAAGCCACAGATTCAAAGATCATCAATAAATTTATACTCTAGAACATTTATTATACTACTGACAATCTCAAAAATCATATTTATTCAACATAAATTCATCCCTCTTCCAGATGTTAAATTTTCTACCACTACAAACTCAGAAACTAAAGAAGAAGGATGACTAAGAAAAAATTTTAGAACACTTACTTAGTCTTAAAAAGCTTAAAATCACATCCTAAATATCCTATTAAAAACTCTTACCTTAAAAACTCAGATCTCTCGCACCGATGAAACTAGATGCTCTTTCAGTCTCAGCTCACGCACACGAAGAATGAAGAAACGAAAGGAAACAGGTGAGTTTTTATAAAAATTCAGTGGGTCCCACACATTTTTTTTATTCTTTTCTCTCTCTTCTTTCTTCTTCTTTTCTTTTTTTTATTATTTTATTTTACTATTGTTACTATTGAGGCGGCGGCCGAAAGCATTCACGTTTTCTTCCTTCTTCTTCGTTTTTTAATTTTTTTTAATTTTTTTAATTTAATTTTTTTTAGAATTATATCCTAAGTTAGATTTAATAATCATCTCTTCCTAATTTTCTTACCTCTAAATATTATTTTTTTTTATTTCTATTAACCCAAATTAACTATTAAAATTCAAATTGAGATGTTACATGATACATCATGCATTCATTGTACCCTGTTTTATATTGTATATTTGATATGAATATGTCAAGCCTTTTCCCCGCGACATCTCTGCATTGTTATTTTTTTTTTTGGGGACAAATGTCACTGAATTATGTTAAAATATGAGCTAAGGTAAACTAAGATTTTACTTTTGGACCAAAATCAATATTTCAACTAGCTGCTACCCAACTAAAAAATAACTCTTGCATTCAGTACCATAGATGTAAACATTGTATTTTGCTCAAGTTTTCAAGTGTAAATTATAAATTAATAAAAACATGATAAATAAAATAGAGGAATGAAAAATGTAACAGCCCTCCTGGGTCACCACTGCCTCTCCAGGGTCTTTTCCCAGGCGCTGGACAACACACATGTCACCACATGATTGCCGGCTTTCCCACTGGTGGTACAGTGGTTATTCCTCACCCCACCCTCGCGGGGGTCTTTTGGAACCTCCCCAGACTCGAACCTCCAACCTCTACCACCTTAACGAAGTTGAGGCGAAGTCTGGTACCATTGAGTCACTCAATGGTACCAGACTTCGCCTCAACTTCGTTAAGGTGGTAGAGGTTGGAGGTTCGAGTCTGGGGAGGTTCCAAAAGACCCCCGCGAGGGTGGGGTGAGGAATAACCACTGTACCACCAGTGGGAAAGCCGGCAATCATGTGGTGACATGTGTGTTGTCCAGCGCCTGGGAAAAGACCCTGGAGAGGCAATGGTGACCCAGGAGGGCTGTTACATAAAAGGCGCCTTTTATGTAACAGTACGGAGCCACCCCTTGGGCCTCGACTCGGTACTGGACTCTGGCCCATCACTGGACCAAAGCCGACTTTCCCACAGGTGGTACTGTGGTTATTCCTCACCACTGCCTCTCCAGGGTCTTTTGGAACCTCCCCAGACTCGAACCTCCAACCTCTACCACCTTAACGAAGTTGAGGCGAAGTCTGGTACCATTGAGACTCAATGGTACCAGACTTCGCCTCAACTTCGTTAAGGTGGTAGAGGTTGGAGGTTCGAGTCTGGGGAGGTTCCAAAAGACCCTGGAGAGGCAGTGGTGAGGAATAACCACAGTACCACCTGTGGAAAGTCGGCTTTGGTCCAGTGATGGGCCAGAGTCCAGTACCGAGTCGAGGCCCAAGGGGTGGCTCCGTACTGTTACAAAAAAAGGAAGAGCTTTTGTGATAATAATAACAATAATATTTTTCACCTCAAAATTCCCTTAATTGTGATCTCATTAAAGTTGACTTTTTTTAAAATGAAAATTTAAAATATTTGAAATCTAATTTTAGGAAATTATGCCTTGAATAGGATTTGTTTTTAATTAATTAAGAAAAATTTGAAATCTCAAATAATAAAAAAGATTCAAAATAAAAATTACCTTTTTTTATCCTATTATTAAATAAAAGAACCCTCGTTAGTATTTATAAAAAGGTAGGGAGAGGAGGCGACAAATCACAAAAAAATTTTAAAAGGATAGAAAGTCAGGTGAAAACGATATTTTGAAGGTGCAAAGGTAGAAGACTTTTCTCCTATTCTTTTTTTTACTCTTACAATGCTTAAGTCTGATTAAGTGATTAAGAAGGGGATTTAAATCATTTGTATGCAATCTATCTATTGTAATCCTCTTTCTTGTTTTTTTTTCTCCATCTTGTGCAATATCACAAGAATATATTCGAGAATTTGTGATCCCATCTTCAGAAATCATCCTTACAATAGTTGGATTATTATATCAGGGATATCAATCCAAAATCGTGCTTCCTTGTCTGCACCCTCATTTATTTATTTATTTGTTGTGGATGTATTTACATTAATTTTTTTTCCTTTATGCATAACATGATGTTTGTCCCAAAAGGTGTGTGATTGGTGGATGATCTCAATCAACGTTGTTAATGTTACTTGGCCATGGGATTTTGGTTTTTCACATTTCCTAATGATTTTGAATTTCAATTGATTGATATGCTTGAGTGATATTAAATCACTATAATTATTAGTTAAAAAAAATTCTCTTTGTATATTAGTTTGAAAAATAGTAAAATTTATAGACACGTTTTAGGTTATGTCATGGGTGATAGTAAGTTATTGTGGATATTTAAAAACTTTAAATGAGATATCATGAATGACATTAAGTTATCATAAGTAAAACAATAGTAATAATAATAATATTATTTACATTTTTATGGTGTCTCATGAATGATACTAAATTATCATGAATACTTAAAAACTTTAAATAAGATATCATGAATGACACTAAGTCATCATATGTATTAAATTTTATATTTAAAATTTTAAAATTAAATTATTCTATGAAAAAAATTCACTTTGAAGATTCTTTACGATTTGTCATGAGTAATACTAAATTACCGTGTACACCTAGAAGCATCGACTAGTGGATTGCGAGTAATACTAAATCACCATAGGTTCCAATATTTGTTAAATTTCCCTCTCTTATGCATTATTAATAAAATAATAAAATAATAAAAACTTTAGCATATTTTAGGTTATCTCATGAGTGATATTAAATCATTGTGGATTTCTAAAAGTATTAAATGAGATACTATGAATGACACTAAATCATCGCAAGTATCTAATTTTATATTTAAAGTTTTAAAATTAATTTATTCACTTTGAAAGTTCCTTTAAGGATTTGCCATGAACGATATTAAATCACTGTGTGCACTTAGAATGTCCACCAGTGAACTTAAGCGATACTAGATCACCGCAAGTTTCAATACTGGCTATTTTTCTTTTATCCGAAGGAACATCCTTATGTCATTTTTTATTTGAAAATAAATATAATTATATAACAAAATAATCTTCTCTTCATAAAATAAATTAATAAAAATTAAAAGAAAACCTAAATAATAATATTTCGAACTATGTAGATTTTGATCCTCATTATAGGGTACGTAGGTTTTAGGTTTTGATCCTAGGTCAAGTCCTTTCATGTAAATAAATAATTTATTTTCTTTTATTTGTTTTCATGTGCAATCAAGGATAGCTAAGATATTATTAAAATGTTAATTAATTTACACGATCAACTTAGAGTAACCATTTTTATGAACGGGTGTTGTGAGGTGTTTAATACCTTCTCCATGCACAACCGTCTCCCGAATCCTATTCTGATTATTAGAGATCATTTTATTTTTTAAAAATTTTTTAAAATTATCTTTTTAAATTTTAATGGTAACTCTTATATTTATTGATCATTTTTTTTTTAAGAGATCAAGATATAGGCGCCACAATAGATAAAGTATCTAATTTAAATAATGTCTCTAAAAAAACACAATTATGATATGATAGGTCTCTGAGTTTAGAACATGGCGCATGCTTTTTGTTTCAAATGTGCCCTTCCTGAAGTCCAACAACCAAGGTACCGGGGGACTGGGGAGCGCTGCCGCGCTAGCGAGGGCCAAAAAAAAAAAAAATGGGGAAGAAGACGAAGAAGCCAGGGAAAGGCAAGGAGAAAACAGAGAGAAAAACTGCGAAAGCAGAGGAGAAGAGAGCTCGCAGGGAGACCAAGAAGCTTTCCCCGGAGGACGATATCGATGCCATATTGGTAATCCTTTATTTCTTCATACTGTCATCACTGTAGAAAATGCTGAGCTTGTTCAAGATGATGAAAACTCCGTGCAATGACATCCCATAGAAGTCCCATGCGATGCGTCGTCCATGATTACTATTCAGTTTACTGTGAAATATTTTGTACATGCTGGACCTCGATTGCGGCTATGTTCATATTTTTACCACATTGGTTTTCTCATCTGGAAATTAATCCATGCGAGGGAGAAAGAAGTTCCTCGCGTACTTTTTCCACGCATGTAACTAGAAAAAATTGATCTTTGCCGCCTCCCAGTTTTGTAAACGACCTTTTGCTTCATTGGGTTCTACTGTGTGATGCCCAGAATGGCGGCAGAAATGTTGCCTGGTTTGTATAGTACTAAGTTTGGGCGGTTGGGATCTCCGCCCTTTCTAAGGGCTCTGGTTTGATTAATTTGTTTCTGTTATGGCCCTTTAACTTTTTAATTCCTAAATTCTAAATTCCTGTCACCTTTTCAATTTTAATTCAGGAACAATCTCTCATTCTTTCTTTTCCTTGTGATCTTTTATCTGAAGTTTTAACGTTTGGTTTCATTCCTATCTAGCACTTGCTGTAAACTAGGGTTGCATCCCCCCTTTTGGTTGATTTATCATCAGTTTCTGTTTTGTCTAAAGCTGAAATCATGCTCCAAAAGCATCATGACAGTTGACGGTGCTTGATTTTTTTGGAAAATGAGTGTTACGGTTAGATTGATCTGTGATGTAGTTTATTGTGGAACAACTCCGTTATGTGATTGTTATGAGTCCTACATCGAGGAGCCTCACAAGTGGTGTGGGGTTTATAAGTTCAAGGGGCTCTCCCACCTAACAACTAGTTGGGTGGGTGGTGGTAATACTCTCTTTAGGTTTGTTGTCTCAATAAAGGCCTTGTACGGAGGGTTCAAATTGGCTGCAGTTGAGTGAAGTGTTGTGGAGTGAGAGCTGCCGGAATTATAGGTTTGGGGGGCACTCCTACTAGGCTAGTCTTTTAAGATGGACTTTCTCTTTGGGCTTGTGCTTGTCATATTAGTGTTTTCATTGAGAGTCCAATGTCATGAAAAGGGCTACCTACAGAGGGTTTGACTCGCAGAAGGCCGAGTGAAGTGTCGTGAAGTGAAGCTGCTGTGGACGTAGGCTCTTGATGGGGTGGCACTATCATGAGTCTCATATTAGAGAGCCTCACAAGTGGCATGGGGTTTATAAGTTTAAGGGGCTCTTCTACCTAACAGACTAGTCTATTGGGCGGTAGAACCACTTTCTGTGGGCTTGTGGTCTCGGAAAAGGCTGCTCATGGAGGGTTTTGACCAGCCCCAATTGAGTGAAGTGCCATTGAGCAACAGCTGTTGGAATTATTGGTTTGGGGGGTACTCCTATCAAGCTAGTTTTTGGGGATAGGCTCGCTCTTTGAGCTTGTGCTCGTCACAGTGATTCTTTTCTATAAAAATTTTTACATGATTAAATGTGTTTGTTTACAGTTAAATATACAGAAGGAAGAAGCCAAAAAGAAGGAAGTTCAGATTGAAGACAATGTTCCTGCACCTTCTCCTCGATCCAACTGTACGGTAATGCTTTAGTCCTGGTTTATCATTAATTACAAACATGTTCAATTTAAGTTCACAATCTCATCTATCTTGCTAATAAAAATTTAGTGAGAATATAAGGTTTTATCAATGTCTCTTTTGCCCACTTACACAGCTCACAGTTAATCCCTTGAAAGAGACAGAGTTGATTCTTTATGGTGGCGAGTTTTACAACGGTAACAAGGTCAGATTTTAATGATAGTCAAGATAATGCTATATTGAAGCATTCTGGTGTAAGTAGTTCTGTTTATATTTTGATGAATACCATGTGATTTATTCAGACCTTTGTCTATGGTGATCTTTACCGATATGATGTGGAGAAGCTGGAATGGAAACTAATTTCAAGTCCTAATAGTCCTCCCCCTCGCAGTGCTCATCAGGCAGTTGCATGGAAGAATTATCTTTATATTTTTGGTAAGCTTTCACCTAGTTAGTGAATGTCTGCATTGCAGACTCCTTTTTCCCCATAGTATATGTCACTTCATTTTATTCATTCTTCAGGCGGTGAATTCACATCTCCAAACCAAGAACGATTTCATCATTACAAGGTAGGACTTGCTTAATCTTACTTCCTTGATGTCAATAAATGCGGTTCGATTTAGCGGTTGTGACTATATAGAAAGAGATTACTGAAAGTACTGCTTACAATCTTTAGATGCTTCTTTTGAATGTTTATTTGTGTAGGACTTTTGGATGTTGGACTTGAAAACAAATCAATGGGAACAACTTAATTTGAAAGGTTGCCCAAGTCCACGCTCTGGACATCGAATGGTAGGCTCATTTTACTTTGAAATGATCAATGTATCAATCAATGCTAGTTACTTGTGAAAATGACAGATTTAGAAATCATGAACCAAACAAAAATTTGGTTTGCTTAATTTGGGACATGATCCTCTTCTTTTGGTTACATTTTTTTTTTCCTTTGACTCACCTTATATCGTGCTGCTGTGCTGTGATGTAACTGTATATAGAAATGTTCTTCAGTTGATTTCCTCATGCCCTGTAAATATGTCTTAAATATTCAAATGATACTGTGCTGTGTACCAGTAACCTGACAAAGCATATGCTGCGTCTATCTTCTGTGAATATATGCTTTCTCACAGAAAGTACATAATGTATGCGCACCCACAAACTTGTGTGTGATTATTTATCACACGTCATTTATACATATTTCTCTTTGTCAGTTTAGAAATATATATGTTTTCTGGTTTATAATTCCAATATCATCTCTGTTGTAGAAATTTTATATCTGAATGTGAGTCTTCCCCTCTGGGTGGGCTATGCCATTTATGAATGGCTGTATTCGTCTTGTTATCTGTCTTCATCATATGCATTTCTATTCAAAGAATTTTGTTCTTTTACAGGTATTGTACAAGCACAAGGTTATTGTTTTTGGCGGCTTCTATGACACTCTTAGAGAAGTGAGGTTGTCAATGCCCTTTATTTATTTATTTATTTATTTTGAACGTGGTGGCTTCTATCACACAACGCTCTTCCAAAAGGAATATGGGAAATGTTGTTGGTGCTTTTTGACTTACACATCATCTAGATGTAAATACAAGGAAATAATGGCTGATAATTACAAAATCCTAATTAAGATAATTAGGATTTGTTTAAGATATTAGGATTATTTAGTAGGAATATTTGAATAAGGATTTTATCCATTAGAATTAGGATTTATTATTTATTTTATTGTTATCTTAGATATCAGTATTTTTAAAATTAGATTTAGATTTAGGATTTGAGATTTGGATTTAAATTATTATTATTTTTAGAGCTCTATAAATAGAGCTAGGTTTTTTGTTTGTATTCAGTTTTTGAGTATTATTGAATAAGAGTGATGTAACACACACACACACTTGCACGGTGCTGGATAGAGGGAAAGAGTAGAGAGAAATCAGAAATAAGGAGGGAGAAATGAAGAAAATGAAGAACAAAATAGTAGGGGAGCAATGGAGGGAGATAGACACAGAGAGAGGGGGGGAGCTTCTAAAATTCAATCACGGTAATTCATTCATCAAAGGTGTCTTACAAGAACAAAGCCTACTTTATTTAAACTAAACTTTCCTACCTATTAAGGAAACCTTATCACTTGTCTATATAAAGCTAACGTTCAGATTTTCCTTCTAACAAAATATTAAAATAGCACTAAAAGAAGCTACAAACTAGGTAGGTTTCTTACAAGCTAAAGAAAATACAATAATGATAATATACTAGCCTAGATTTCTTCCTATAAGAGATTTCTTCGAAATATATTAATTCTCATATTTCATCAAAGAGTTTTCGACAGTTTTGGCCTTTTCCCTCCTTCTTTCCCCCTCCTCCTCTCTCTTTATCTCTCTTCCCTCTCTCCTTTCCCGTTTTATATCAATTTGGTACTAAAGCCTAGTTTCACCTCCCTTCCTTGTGTTACTTTTCTGGTTGAGATTCATAAAATAACCCAAACCTTTCCTAAAGCCACAAATCATCATATTTGAGGAGAAATTTTCAATCCATATATTCATGATTTTATATGTGATATTATCATGAATGCCCATTCAGGGAGTGCCAAAATTATCACCGCACTCTACCTCGACGTGTTGGGCACCCACAATAGAACAAAGGCTACTAGAGGAAAATAATTGAAGAACGATGACAATACTAGTATGCATATGACCAATGGTGTGGCTATGAAACATGTCGCATGGTTGAATATGCATGACAAATTGCTGAGGATGAAAGTTTTGATGCTAAATTTAAAAGGTGAATAATTAAGGTCAAATGCTGCATTGCTGAATTCAACAGTGAATTAAGACATCAAATTCAAGAAGTTGCATGTTGGATTGAAAAAAATAAAGAAGAGTTTCCAAAAAAATTTGGAATTGCTAAATCAGCATAAACAAGCAATCAAGAAGGAAGATGTTGAAACTCTTACCTTAAATTTAAAGGAATCTATAGTAACCCTTGTGGAGCCTAATCATGAGAGTGGTCTGTCCATTCTAGCATCTTTATCATTATAGGCTATATTAAAAACTTCACTAAAGGCTCCTCTACTTCCTATACAAATGGCACCTTCCCAAGTTATGATCAACCAGAAACAATCTTGCCTTGCTACAAATTCACCTCATCGACAAGTTGTGCCTACCAAGAATGTCCTGGCATTTAACGGGAAGCTTCAACAATATCTTGTCTACTGGAAAGGGTTCCCAGAATTTCCTTATAATCAAGTTCATCTTCCATATGACTTACTCCGTCGCTACCTCACCTGTTGGAAAGGATTTCTAGATCGGCGCAACCCTGGCTAAGATATTATCCTACTTGTCCCTCCCCGACTAATTTGTGCCTTGACGAGTTCTTCAAGCGGTGGAGAAATGATGGAATATGGGATAATGATTAATTAAGATACTTAAGATTTATTTAAGATATTAGAATTATCCATTAGAGATATTTGAATAAGGATTTTTTCCATTAGAATCAGGATTTATTATTTATTTTATTGTTATCTTATATATCGGTATTTTTAAGATTAAATTTAGATTTGGGATTTGGGATTTGAATTTGAATTTGAATTATTATTATTTTATTATTTTTAAAGCTCCATAAATAGAGTTAGGTTTTTCATTTGCATTTAATTTTGGGTATTATTGAATAAGAGTTTTTGAGAGTTTTGGCTTCTCCCCTCCTTCTTTTTCTCCCCTCCTCCTTTCTCTTTATCTCTCTTCCCCCTCTCCCTTCCCATTTTACATCACATCAAACATTGAAATTTTAGGTTCTTTGTCTGTTCCTTGGTGTTCTTTAGTTCTTTGACTTTGCATGTAGGACTTGAATTAAGATCTTCAGAGATACACCTAGACTACATTATCTCTGCCAGCTGAAGATTAACGGACCTATTAACTGACTATGCAGGTACTACAATGATCTATTTGTATTTGACCTCGATCAATTTAAGGTAACATTTGAATTTTGGCTTACTGTGCAATCAATCCTCTAATATGCTATCAATATTTCTGTCTGAGTTTGACTTCAGAATGACATGCTGTACAATGCAATAAATTCCTATGCCTTACTATAGTTAATACCAACCTGATTTTGTGCTGTAGTGGCAAGAAATAAAACCTAAGCCTGGTGCAATGTGGCCAAGTGGGCGGAGTGGTTTTCAATTATTTGCTTACCAAGATGAGGCAAGTAAATTATCACTGTCACTTTTTTGGAGCTATTGTATTTTACATTACTTGATTCCTTTTAGACATGCTTGTGTTTATTAGCGTGACACATTATCCATTTGACATTGTAGATTTTTTTGTACGGGGGCTATTCAAAAGAAGTTTCATCTGATAAGAGTATCTCCGAAAAAGGCATTGTTCATTCAGACATGTGGTCCCTTGATCCTAAGACTTGGGAATGGAATAAGGTGATAGGTTGGAGTCCAATATTCATTAATTTTTTATTTTCCTCAACTTAGGCTAGTTTAAGCTTCTAATTTGTGCACGGTAAGACCCTGCACTCCAAGAAATGAACACAATTTCTTCTGGTGACATAGTTGACTTGCTGCACCTTCTCTTTTTAAATGACCAACGATGGAATTGCTTGTTTAGATCTTATTCATTTGTCTTGATTGTTATTTCTTTTGTGTGCTTGTGCATGTGGAAGTGCAAACATGCGTAAGGTATTTTAATTTATTTTCACCCAACTGATTTATTTCATCATTCCTTCTCTTCCTTCTTCATAGGTCAAGAAAAGTGGAATGCCTCCAGGGCCTCGTGCTGGGTTTTCCATGTGTGTCCATAAGAGGAGGGCTGTGCTCTTTGGAGGTGTTGTGGATATGGAAGTTGAAGGTTAGGTTTTCTTAGGGCATTTGCCATTTCCATCATTTTGTTAATTGTTGCGAGCAATTAGTAACAGGTGTAACAATGAACTTAATTTTATGTACTTTATTTTGAAGGGGCCAATGTCATATGTCTATGCTTGCTATGAGGATAGTTTCCTGATTTCATTTATATTTTTCAGGTGATAAAATGATGAGCCTGTTCTTAAATGAGCTTTATGGCTTTCAATTAGATAACAATCGCTGGTGAGTCCTGTCCTAATATTATATTAGTATATATTTTCTGAAGTTGTTTTTTGCCCTTATGAGATTAATTTCTCTCATTTGCTTTGCAGATTTCTTTTATCTTTTATCACAACGTGTTCTTTATTTTTTATTACTTTTGCATGATTATTTTGTTCCATATATTGGCTAGAGTTGAAATGTGATATCATATTTGATCCTCTCTTCTTGAGCTTGTCATTGATTTTATTTGTGTTTAGGTATCCACTGGAGTTAAGAAAGGAGAAGTCAACGAAAGATAAGGTAGATTAAAAACATTCCACTCATGTTCTCTCATAAAAAAACTCTACATTTTAAAAGCCAACTTTTAGAGGTTTTGATGTAAAATGGGTTTTGCAGTTAAAAAAGAATGAACGGAAGTCTATAGATGGTGTTGATGACAAAACCAATCCACAATTGGAAGCAAGAGAAGAAAATGAGGGTTCGGAATGCCAAGAAGAAGCAAGCAATGCGGGAGTCAACATTGATAATGTATCCCAGAATATTAAATCAAATATGAGTATTGTTGATAGTGCAACAGTTGAATCTGCAAGAAACCTGCAGGAATCTGGTGTTAACTTGGACATTCAAAGTTCTTTGCCTGAGGTTCTCATTGTGGGCGAACAATTTTATTTCACTGCTTTCTTTTTGCACTGTTATTGATGTTGATTGATAAATTTTATGCAAATTTTCTAGGTCGTGAAGCCTTGTGGACGTATTAATTCCTGCATGGTTGTTGGGAGAGATACATTATACGTATATGGTGGGACTATGGAGATTAAGGATCGAGAAATCACTCTTGATGACTTGTATACTCTGAATCTTAGCAAACTTGATGAGTGGAAGTGCATTAAACCGGTTTGTCACCTTTTCTGAACTAAATTTTACAAAATCATGCATAGACAAAGTACTGTAAATTCAAAGAAATAATTTTATCACCAGTAAACAAAGCTAGAAAAGGCAAAAGGGAAAAGGCAGACTAGAAATATGCCAAAAACCAGTTATTAGAAAAGGCAGTAACCAATAACCACTATTTTGTTGCTTGTCATTCTTAAAGTTGCAGGAGACCTCAGTTGTCTCATTGAATATCATCAGGAAAATTTTCTAGTAACATTTTTGTCAGAAATTAGACCTATTAAAATGGCTTGTCTGCTATAAGATATTGTGTAAATTAGTGAATTTAGTTTCATATAAAATTGCATTGCTTTATTTGTAACAACCTGACTCAGATTTTCTTTAACCCAGTCATCAGAATCTGAATGGATGGAGGTTTCAGATGATGATAATGAAGATGATGAAGATGATGAAGAAGACGGTGAAGATGAATCTGATGGCGATACCCTAAGTGATGATGATGAGGACAAGGAGGAGGTGGTACTCATTCTTCGAAAATCAAACTGGAAAAAGAAATCTAACTTCATGGTTCACACCTTAAATCTATTGAGGGTTTGGGGTGGGAAGAGAAACAGCAGATATGTTTGTTATTCAGTGGTTTTAAATGTTATGTCTTTTGCAGCCCACATGTCCGTTATATTTAAGATTGACCTATCCTTTAGCAAGATTGAGTTATAACCCTATGGAATCTTGCCTCTTCTTTTTCCCTTTGTTGCTTCAGCTGGTTTGAGTTGTTGGCTCTTTCCACAATATTGATTTTGCATTTTTTACAACTTGAAACATTCTTTTGAACAAAAGCTTACGTTGGAAGCTGCTCTTGCTGGGTTTGCATTGATCAGCAGCTGGGTCAACAAGTGTTAGAAGAACCACCTGCTTCTCTATCCAAGCTCATATGGGAAGATTGTATTGGGGTCACTAAGCCCCGCATCTGTACTTTGTAATCTGTTTATTTTCTTACCTTTTAATATTAACAAAAAGTCTGCTTTGGAAACAGTGAATTCGAACATATTATTTAAAGCATTTCTTAGGTTTTTTGTTTTTCATGTAACTCAAATTGCCATACCACAATAATTTTCAAGTATATATTTATATAGATGAAGTCTCTGTCAGTATGTCCTTTACAGCATGAAGCTTCCCAATGAATTAATTTGACCTTACTTTTTGGGTATTATTTCAGAATGAATCAGCTAAAGTGGGAGATGCTGTTGCTTTGATTAAAGGTGGGGTGAAAAATCTGCGGAGAAAAGAAAGAAGGTCACGAATAGAGCAGATCAGAGCAAGCCTTGGCTTGTCAGATTCGCAAAGAACACCAATGGTACATCAATAGCTAATGCCTATGATTATAGATTGAAGATAGTGAATGTATTAACCTATGAATTTCATAGATTTTTCTTCATGTGAGCTCTTCTACCTTCGCTGATTGTGTGTTCGGTTGTCTTTTTGCCTGTAGAAAAAAAATGAAATATCTGTTGGTTTCCAATCATGTCTTTGTTTTACCATGCTTTTTAACTGATTATTTGTTGCATATTTGACGTAAAGCCAGGAGAATCCTTGAGGGATTTCTATAGACGCACAAATTTGTATTGGCAAATGGCTGCTCATGAGCATACTCAACACACTGGAAAGGTGTGTTCATTACCTGTCTGGGTCATTTTTTTGGTCCATTGCATTTATCTGTAAAAGTTTGACTAGTTTTCCCTAACATGAATTATCTTTTGTCTAGAATTTCTAGACGTTGGTTCTGTCAAATTTTGCATCTGCTTGAGAACTGAAGTACCACCTTCAGGAGGAAAATAGGGATTCAGTTGATTTGAAGTTCTCCTTAACCTATTGGCTTGGGCCCTTGTTCTTGTCAATGTTAAAAAATCTTTAATTTATCCTAATTTTCTTGCAAATTATTTGTTATGATGTTTCTAAATAAATTATTTCTTCATTTTTTGGGCTGGATGCATTCTATGTTCAACATGTTAAATCTTTGTCACTGAATCATAGTTCAACTTTCCTATCATTTATGGTGCCTGGCAAAATTGCTGAATAACACCTCTCTCCCTGTGTTGTTTGGGGTTCGGGTTCAAATTTTAAATGAATGTTCTAGAGTTAGTTTAAGTACTTGGCATCATGCAATTCATTTACATTTGACGGAGCACGCACCCCTTGCCTTCGTCTGTTGCATGTTCACCCTCAAGATAATATGATCCTATCGATCATGCATTTAAGTTACATAACGGGTTTCTTGTTTGAGCAAAAACATATTAACATGATGTTAACCACTGATGAACGCCTTCACCTTTGTGGTGAAATTCTGGCCTTGGGTCATAGGAACTCCGCAAGGATGGGTTTGATCTTGCTGAAGTTCGTTTCAGGGAACTAAAGCCTATACTTGATGAGGTAAGCTTGTTTGCCGATTATGGGCCCTTCTGTTCTGCCTAGGATTCAAATTTACACCTAAAAGCCACTTCTTTTGTTGTTTGACATCATTGCCATTGTCTTTCACCTATTCATTTAAGTTTTTTCTCCGGATACTACAGCTGGCCCTATTAGAAGCTGAGCAGAAAGCTGAAGAGAACGAAGGGCCTGAAATTAGTTTAAAGAAAAGAGGCAAGAAGAAAACTAGGAACTAATTTTTTGGCACGAAAATCCGTTGTAATCAAGGTTGTAATTTAATATGCAATTTTGACATAGTTTGATGTCATGAGATGCAGAGTATGTGCTAGGAACTGCATCCATATGCCTATGACTGTATGAGCTTATCGATGATCTTGCAATGAAACCTGACTTCTATGCGTGTTTGGTTTCATGGTTCCAGTTTATAACATGAAACCAAATATGCTCTCTCTGCTGTGTGGGGTATGGACTGTGCAATAGTTTCGCCCCGGGCTTATTCCCTTGCGTTTCTTCTTTTTTGGAAATAGATTTATGGGGCACTCACATTGCACAGCAGAGAAGTCAGTGGCCTTGCGATTAACCCTTAAAGATGTGATTTTTTTGGCCGGGGGGGTGGGGGCGGGTGTTGTTTTAGATTGAAAATTTGTGCATTATCTGTGTCACTGCCAGCAATTAAAATATGAAATTGCTACGACACGAGCATAAATATGTGGTGATTTCTCAAGTTTTGGGAATACTTTTGTTAAAATATTTTAAGCATACCATGTTAAGTTTTAAATTTTTCAAGTGATGATTAAAACTAAGGGCAATGCAGAACGTTCGATGAAACTTTAAGGCGAAAACTAAATGTGAGTCCTGCTTCGCTCTTGAAGCCATTACTTGAAGCCTCTTGACATTGGTTGGGGTGGTGATCTTAGTAAAATGGTTCGACATCTCAAAATTATGGCTGGCTTACCTTTCACTCAATGTGCAACTCGTGCAACAGTTATTATATGATAGACATCAATGACAAAACTAATGTGGCTGCCAAAATAATAATAATAATAATAATAATAACAAAACTAACGCGATCATCTTGCTTAAAGTTATTAGAAAAGCCTGTTCCTGAAAGGGCTGTTGCCTCGCATTTTATCCAAAATAAAATAAAATAAAATAAAATAAAGGAAAGCCTCTTCCTGGTTCCATGCATCAGACATTATCCTCTATTTCATTTGCAGTTATCTTCGGCTTTTGATAGATCGCAACTTAAGGAAGCTATTGGTTTATGATGGGCTGGACACATCCCTTATAATGATCCTGCTCTGATCACGATCGAGTTTAGTTTTGGCCCATATGGAATGTTTATTACATTGTTTTCATATTGCTTTTATTTGATATTAGTTCATTTTTCAAAATTTACACCATGTGAGTTTAAATGAGAGCAAAATTGAAAAATTTAAGATAAAAGTTAAAGAATTTTAATTCTTTCATTGGTCATGGCAATAATGTTGGAACTTGAAAGTGTCATATAAAATGGATAAGAAAAAGTAATATCCTGAGTTCAAAGGTCATTTAGTTAAAAAGTCCACTGAAAAAGGTAATAAATTGTTTTTTCTAGTTTCGTAGGCAAAAAAAAAAAATTGTTTTTATAGTTTTAAAAGGAAAAATACATGCTCTATTTGAACCCAAAAAAAAAAACACAGCACTTTGTATTAAAAAAAAATGAATAACAGTACTTGTTTATGGTGGCGAATCTGCGTGGGCTTTAGAAGATGGTTGAGCGGTTTCATGTGTTCAAATAACCTCACGAAATAATTATGAAGTCGATAATTTTAGTTTGATGGTAATTTTGTGGGAAAGATTCAGATAATTTGTTTTACATTTTTTTGCAAATAATATATATATATATATATATATTTGTTTTACATATTACATATGTCAAGTTGCATAAGGGTAGGGAGAAAGAGAGTTTCTTCACTTTTTTTCTCTCCATTTCTCTTCACTTTCCCATTCTCATCATTCATTAATTTTATTATTTAAAAAATTATTTAATAAAATAATTTAAATGATAAGAATGAGAGAAGTGAAGGAAAAAAAAAATGAAAGGCTCCTCTCTCAAAAAATAAGGCCGGAAATTAAAAGGAAAACAAAGAACCAAGGCGTCCAAAAAAAAAAAAAAAGGAAGCATCATGGAAGATGTTATAATTGCGGAGGCGATTGGCCGAAAAGTCCAAACCTTGGTTTAGGAGACCAAGAAAAGAACAATGAAAGAAACAGAGGAACGTCTTGCAAAACGGAGTCAGATAGGAAAGGGGACAAGAAAGAAGCATGGGGGCTAAAAATATGAGCAAGCGTGGAGGAAGGGAAAAAAGAAAAGGGGGCGGGGAGCAGGTGAGCGGAGCCTCAGCTCTTCAACTTAAACCCGCATCTCACCTAATTGATGACTCTAATCGCTACCATTAAATAACTAATAATAACTACTTGGGCAATGAAAGCAGTAACGATTGCTTATGCAAGCTTAGAAAGTTAAAAGAATCAAACTTCAAAAAATGTACTTGTTCTCTCTGATTATCATAACGAGTGTTTGATGGGGGTTGAGTTTTCAAAATAAATGCTGTTCCTTGGGTCACTAGGCGTCGTTAACCCTCCATTCTACACCTGTTCTTGGTCAGCTTCCGAAAATTGTAGCCGTCTTTTGTGCATTCGGCTTTCTTATTTTATTCTCTAGCTTTCTCTCGCTGTGATCATTTCCGGCTTCTGTTTGATTACAAGATTAGAGTGTAATTCACTGGTAGAACCAAAATGTTCGAATACTGCCAGCCACTTGATGCAAGCCCCCGTTTCGAGGATTCCCTCAAGGCACTTGAATCTGATATTCAACACGCCAATATGCTGTGAGCTTTCTTTCTAATCTTATTTCTAGTTTGATCATAGTTGGGGTTCCGGGTTCGGTGTAGAATTGATATTCTAAGGCATACCTCTGTGCTCTTCAGTCAAGTGTTGCTTATTATACAATTCCACCATTTCTGGGTTGGATAGGTCACCTCTTTAAAGCTATAAACAGGAATTAGCCATATAGTAGTATTGAGTTTTCTGTTTATCCCTTTCTTCTTCTGATTTTTGTCAACTCCTCCATTTCGTATAAAAAAGATGTTCTTTTTCGTTTCGTTTCAATCGACAAGTACGATGATTTGATTGTGCATGGTTCTCTGTCACTGTTATACTGTACGACCTCAATTGACTAGGTGATATATGTTGGCGGACATGGATCATTGTTGGAAAATGAAGTCTTTTGTTTACTGTTATCTAATACCTTAAGCTGGGCTATATATTGCAATATTGGAACTGGAGAAGGAGAATGTATAAAAGGCTATGTATGACATCTATATGACCTAGATGTCATTTGCAGTATTGCTATCGTCATTCCTGTTTTGAAGATAAAGGCTGCTCCTCCCTCCCACCCCCTTCTCTCTCTCGGGGGCAAGGGGTTGCAGACCCAGAGACTGTTTTATTCTAGCAGAAATGTTGATATTTCGTTTTTAGTTTTGTCAGGTTGGCGTATGTATTTGTTGATTTTTCCCTCAATCAGTGCATTATAACAATACTGGATAGAAGGCTATTTTGAACAACATTGGTTAACTAACAAGAAGTTGCATGGGAGATATATATTGATGCTGGAATTTGAAACTGTGCAGGGCTGCTTCTATTCCCAGGGGCAAGGGCAGGGCTTGTCTTCAAATGAAGTTAGTTTTCAATCAGCTGGCACCAATCTTCCTGTATGTACTTCGATGGATAGATTGCTCCTGTTCTTGTCTACTTTCAAGCTATTTGAATCTTTTCCACATAGTTGTGTTTAAGGTCTGTGTCCTGCTCTATTACTGGTTTGTGTTGAACCATTATATTTTTCCACTCAAATTCTGGTAAATTTTTTATCTGTTATTTGTTTAGGTGCATTCAAATGGGAAGCCAAATTTCTCTTCTTATGGAAGGAAAGCAAGCATAAGGGAATTCTACGGTAAATACATGTTTCCTAATCATGGTGCACTATAACACTGTATAGAAGGCTATTACGAACAACAATGGTTAACTAACAAGGATTTGCTTTCTATAACTGCAGGTGTTATATTGCCTTCTCTTCAGCGCCTTCATGGTGATTTAATAAATGCTGATATTAATCAAGAAAAGGGTCAAAATTTACAGATGGTTGTTAATCGGAGTATTGAAGATGAGGGGAATATTTGTGATGTGGACATGGAAAGAGAAAACGAATGTGGCATCTGCTTAGAGCATTGTACCAAAGTAGTTTTGCCAAACTGCTGCCATTCCATGTGTATAGATTGTTATCACGACTGGTAGATATGACCACTTTTTGCCTTCCACTAGAATTAGTCACTGTTATTAAGAGAATAGAAGCGTCGAACTATTCTTGGAAGTTTAACTTATCCTTTCATCTCTTCATACACAGGAACAAGATCAGAATCTTGTCCATTTTGCCGGGGAAGCTTGACAAGAGTTAAGTCAGGTGATTTGTGGGTTCTAACATGTGCTAAGGACATGATTGATGTGGAAACTGTCATTAGAGAAGATATGCTTCGTCTCTCTCTCTTCATAAACAACCTGCCTAAGGATATCCCAGATACTCTCTTCTTAATGTATAATGAGTACTTGTTTTAATTGAAGAATAAGCACAGGTAGAACTAACTGCCTGCGATGTACAGAATATTTTTTCTGTTTTCCTTGATCTCTTCTTTGTAACTACACAATGATTGCACTTCAGAAAGCAAAATTGTTGATATCAGATTGGCAGCTTCTCTTGCACAGAGTGCAAAATGCATTTCTTTTTCCATATTCATGATCCCCCAATCCTGCACAAAGCAGCAAGGGAAAATCTTTACTAAAGTGGATACAAGTTAGAGACTACTTAGGTTACAACAAGCAAAATATAAATTTTTCTGATGCTAGTTTAGATGATGATGATGCACCAACTTAGGGCACGTACTTCCTCTGTTCCATTTGGGATGGTTGGTTGTGAGGTTTAATTTATCGCCTGCCCAAAAAATCAGTTACTGCTATGAAAGCGTTTTATTTATTATATATTTTTTAAATTTGATATGATGTTTTGCAATTTCAAAGACCTGTAATGAAGCTAAATGCAAGTCTTGATAGCTTCATGAGGCTCTTAATTCTTAATTATGGTCTCATCTCATGTGCTAGCTTTAAACGTTCTCCTACTGTTTATGGAATTTGTGTGTGGGGTTTGCTTATCACTGCTGATCTTGTTCTGCCAAAATTAACTGAAATTTGACCAGTATGTCAATAGCAGTTGATCGGGCCTTTCTTTTACTTCTAACTGACCTTTGCTCATTTCGTTGAAGTTAAACAATCAATGTGTTTAAAATTTTTAGATAGATTGTTTTAATTGCTAAATTTTTGAAAAACAACTCTATATATTGTTTTTTTCAGAAAGGTTTGATGACGCTCTAAGATGTTAAAAATTGTGATCTCATTAAATGTTTATTAAAGGATTCAATAACGAACACTTCGAAAAGTACACCGAAGTTTTGTCCTTTCCTATTCTAAGACCAGACCGATGCCCCAGTGCAAGATCTAGTGAATTCAGGGACGATTCCCTTTCAAGATCTAATCGCACTGAAACTCCACAAGGACTAACAAATACAAACATCATCGTGGGATAAACCATTCATCCCTGCCTCTCTTTCGCGTCCAACAAAGAACTAAATGGGGGTTGACTGTAGTTTCCTCGTAGGAACAAACTAGTAACAGCCTTATACATAGCTTCAGTCAAGTGAACACCATCCCAATTGACATATTGAGAAGGGCTTGAGCAGACGGTGGTATTGGGCGTCCCGCAAGTGGCGAAAACACTGAAGTTGTAGGGTCCTTGTCCTGCTCCGCAGCACACTGCGAACCTCTCTTTGAATCCATATTTGGCGGGGTTCTCCATCACAGCTCGGTAGGCATTATAGTAATCGGCATACACTATCATGGCATGAGGGTACTGGTTCCTGAATTGTTGCAGCTTGTCTTGCAGTACAAGGTTGTGGGTGTAGCTTTTTTCGTTGACGCTTTTCACGCATCCAATGTCGTCTCTGTCATCTTCAGGTTCCAGATACATGGTCAATGGCAGACACCCGGTTAGTGGCAAACCCTGCACGACAAGGTACTTGGCTCCCCTCTGGAGCAATGCCTGCAAAACCCAACGAAGAATGAAGATGACTTTATAAAACAATTCCTTCATTTTGACAGGAAATTGATTGCTTAACGCGATCCAATATACCAGGACGCCTGAGATGTCATGATTAAAAGTCGAATCTCTTAACAAATATATGGATTTTATATTGTATACATGAAGTGTACGATAACTTTTTACGGTTTACCAAAACCAAGCTAAACAATACCTGTAAAGCATTGGAGACGCTGTAAACAGAGAGCTTTCTGATGGTATCAGCAGATACTGAAGATCCAAGAGTGTAGGCATAATCGTTGACTCCAATCTCACCAAACCAAAACAAAGTATCATCAAAATTGGCTTTACACTCTGATGCAACTCCCTTACATCCTTGGCTATCTAGGTATCTGTTGAACCATAGAACCTGGGTTTGGATGGACTGAGGAGTTACGTCGAGTGTAAGGTTGTTCCTGACAAAGAACTCATGGTTTATTGCAGTAGAACCAGCAACAGCAAAGTTTACTCCAAAAGTATCATTGCCTTTGAAGTGTAGGTAAGGAGGCAAGTAAGGCAATGAGAGTGCTTCAGCCATGAAGTCTATCACAAGCCTACCATCAGAGTATCTATTGGTGGAATGGTTAAAGAAGGAGCTTCCATATGGAGAGCTTGATACATGGCCAAACCCACTCGGTCCGCTAGCACTCTTGGTGTTGCCTGTGTCAGTGAAGGAGTCACCGAAGGCGAAAATCTTCTTGAAGGGTCGTGTTTGTCCCTCCACGGTAACTACAGGACTTGACAGAAATGAGAAGATTATGCAGATGGCCATAAGGATGATTCTGGAAGCAAAAGAAGAAGCCATCTCTGAATGCCTCATAGGGACCTCCAACTATTGAGGCCTTTATATAAAATACTGTTCTCTTAATTCCTGAGATTAGTCTCTCCAAACTTTAGCAGGGCTATGTATCACTTTAGATCATTGATGACAATATGCTAACCATTCATTTTTGACAAGCATTTGTTAAATATTAATAATACCTGTATTGTGAAGTAGGTGGAAGACTGGAGGGGGAGCGTTATGAATTATGGGAATTTATTAAATTCCTTGTAGCAGATGAAATTAATAACAATTGAGTTTCTTTTAAGTAGTAGCACATACAAATCTCCATATCAGATGTCTAATATTTTTTTCTTTTGAATAGCTAGGTGTTTTCAAAAGATTTAGGGAATCACCGAAATTTGGCCCAAAAAAAAAAGAAGAAGAAGAAGCAGCTTGCATTTATATAGGCTAGGGAAGAAATAGTATGAATTAGTTGAGGCCTTGAATAAGTGTGGCCCTCCGCCAACCGTTTTTTGAGGCGATTCACTGATGCGGTGAGGTATGAGGATGCAGACAGTGTGCTTTGGTGGTGAGAGTAAATGGGGAGGTATATTTAGTTGCTGTATTGTGAATGCCATTAATGAAGGCCAACTATCTCAACCCCACACATTGGCATTTGGACTTGATACTACTTTTCTTTTCTTTTTTTTTTTAAGAAGAAAATTGAATTATAGTTTTCAAAAGATCATTTAATCACCATAAGAGTATGTTACCCATTTTTTACTGTACAAAAGTATTTTTTTATTGAAAACATTGTTCACCATATTATTAGATATTAGCTCCTTCTGCTAAATTTAACTATAATCAGCAAAGTCATTAATTTTCTAAATACATAAAATCAAGAGATGAAACATACTATTTACTAAAATTAAAAATAATACTTGCTCTAAGCGTTTTTTGTTTTACAAAGTTACAATCATAAACAGAAAAATAATACTGGTAATTCATTGCATCCAAATTTTATATATCATAAGCAGAAAAATAATACTGGTAATTCATTGCATCCAAATTTTATTACTCCTGATCTTTAAGGTAAACTTAAAAAAATATCTTTAATATAAGAGAAAGTTAGAGTAATTAATATTTTCTAATTTTATTCCTTATTTATTTATTTATTATCATTTGAATTTTAAAACCACAATTTATTATGATTATTAATTGTAAATGAAGGTAAAATTGAAAAGTAATATATTTTTTTCCAAACAATTTTTATGATATAACTTTTTTTATTCCATTACTTGGTATTCTCATAAACCTAAGCCAAACCCTATTGTGTGGGATTATTATTACTAACGGCGACCTCACAAATATTTGGAATACTTTCGACATATTTATTTAGCATAATTTATATCCTAGGACTCGAAGTCAAGACCCCCAATATAAATTAATTCAACTCTCTTAACCAATAAATCAAATGCCCTCAATAATTTTAATGATATAACTATTATTTCTTAATAATAATCAATTGAGAGAGTGCATAAATACATGTATGTTGATGATTCAAGATCAGTCATCTAATGAACAAAACAAAGTACCAATTCTTGAAGACAATATTTATGTATTTAACTTCATATACTTAATATAATTTTATTTAATCAAATCAAAATAAGTGAATTTTAATACGTTAATAATATTAATAACAAGATTTTGTTATAGAATAAATAACATATATAAAGAATTCACATGTCTTGATTTAATTAAAAATAAATACCTTAAATATTTAAGACTAATATATAAGTTTTTTTCTCTCCATAACTTTTGAGATTAATTGTCAATTAGAATTTTACAATATTTTTAAAATCGGATTAGATATTAAACTAGAAAGGCTAGGGGGTTACAGTTTGCATGATCTATCGGGTTGGATTAATGGTCAAACTAATAACATAGTAATTAAATTAAAAAAATTATATATGTGTATAATAATTTAAATATGAGAAATAAATATAAAATTACTACTTAACTTAAAAACAAAACTAAATATTTTAAATTTATCATGACTTAACAAATACATGATGCAACATAACATTAAGGGATTTAAAAAATTGGTTATTTTCTAAAAAATTGATAAAAAATGGTATTTTTTTTAGTAGCTGGTTTTTAAAAATGAATCCAAATCCTGGTCTGACCAACTGTCCAAAGCAGCCCAACTTTCAAACTATTTTTTCATGTTGATTGAGTTGAAATCCAAACAATCAATGGTCCTATCATCAAGTTCGGTTTGATTTTTTAATCATTGAAATTTTGTAGAGTATTGCTCTAAAAAATGTTTATCTCACAAAAAGGGAACTTTTATTTGGTAAAAGAATAATTTTGATGTTATATTAATTAATAATTATCAATACTAATATTAATATAAAATATAAAATTTATTATTCAGAATATTACCTGACTAGGATCTAGCCTACTTAATTAGAAAATTTTAAAAATAAACGAATTGTGCTGAAGAAATTTTATGAGATTTTTTTTAATTGTTTAAGGGTATCATCCAATTGGAGGGCACATTTTTTAATGACATTCAACCTTGATTAATCACGTTATGAAAAACTCACTCCCTCCACTAAACACGTTGATGATTTTAACAAGATTCATTCTAACAAGTGTCATATTCAAAGCTTGGATTACTATGCCAGCTTTCACGAGACACTGTCGGTGCATTTCCACGACTGAAATAAAATAAAAACCTAATTCTACTATATTTCTCTTTGGAGTAGTTTCTAAAAATAAGTTTTGAATGTAACAATGAACTAAAAAACTAACGAGATTGGGAAGCCCGAAAACAGAGGGAGTTGAAGGCTGAAAATGACGCACGCAGGAAATCGGGACCTTGCAGCGGGAAACAGAAACGGTTCGAGCCGACGCGTGTCGCTCCATGGTTGGTCCAAATTCGGTTACTCTAATTTTGCTTGTGGGCTCCATGCTTCATAGTTCCTACACGGGCCTCTTTCGCCTTCACACGGGCGAAAACGTCGTGGCTATCGATCCCAGCATTTGCAAGCTATTACGATCCAAACTGGCTCATCCATGGCTTCGGTAACATTGCTTCCTTTTTCCTAATTTGATTTTACCTTTATTCCGAAATGAAAGTTTGACGCTAGTTTGCTTGTTGAATCCGTTTGGTGTTGCCAAATAATCATTCTCGCATTGGTTTTCGGCATTCCTGATCGGGACATTAAATTCTTCCTCTTGAATTTCTTTTCCTGTTGCTGCTGATAGATTCAATGGTTTCCATCATTGGAGTTTAGATCCTTAACGGCCAAGACTTTCTGATAATGACAGCAATACCGGCCTTATCTTGCCTTGTCAAATCTCACGTTAATATTAACCTTGAAAATGATTTCCTCCAGTTTCTTCTTTACCATTCCAATTCTAGAGGATCAAAGACTGAACAACCAGCTCATTGAGAGTCTCCCTGGTAGCAATTTTATTCTGGACTATGTAATTGATTCCTGATTTGTTATTTTCACACGATGACATGTTCAGGCGTCATTTGTATTTGACTTATTATTGCCGATTTCAAAATCAAATAAATTGTGAAGAAAAATAGAACGCGTCACACGATCAATAATATAGGTTTAGATTTAATCCGGCAGTGTGTGGAAACCATGCAAGTGATTTTGTACGTATCAACGTTCTGAGGCCATAACGCTTTTAGTCAGGTGATTCCACTGATCTAGCTCAGAAACAATTGTGTCTTGTCATTTAGGAGCTAAGAACAATCAATCTTAGCAAAATGCTGTTTTTTATTTCTTAAAATGATACTATGCATAGAGGTGGACCTTTAAAATTAATTTCATTATATCAAGTTGTGACACATGAAAAGCAAACATGTCTTACGAATAAAGATCGTGCACTAATTGTTCCAGTCTTTGTTCCAAAAGCAAGATACAGGTGGGCCGTTGCCTAAATTCGGCGAGTGGGATGTGAATAACCCTGCCTCGGCTGAAGGATATACAGTCATATTTAAGAGGGCTAGAGATGAGAAGAAGACTGGCTATGCTAACATGGTAACTCCGAGGAAATCTGAACCTACGTACAGGCATGAAAGTTATCCTCGTTACCCTCGAAAGGTAAGCTTAAAATGTCAATCGAAGTGTTCTTTTTCACTTTTTAGTTCTCAGTGTTTGGATTTAGGTTTGGTGTTTAAAATGATAAGATCCCTCTGAGCTTCACTTAATTTCTGAAATTGCAGAGCAAGTGGTTTTGCTGCGGTTAGAGCCTTGGAGCATAACGTATAATCAAAAAGATTGTATAAGTCTTCTTCCAAGCAATGCTGTGTGGATCGTGCTCTTGCAAATCTGGGGAGTGAAGTATGGCTTACGGTCTTTTTTTTTTTTTTCAAATTGATTTTTCCGATTACTTTTTCATCTTCTCTGTGCTTGTGAATTGAAGTTCTATGCCAAATTTAACAAGGAAACAATACAGATGACCGAGTGATAAAATAGAATTGAGTGTCTGCTGAAACATACCTTACATATACACATAATTATCACCCATAAATGCATTATAATATATATATATATATATATAAACAGTTCAAAAACATTTACTATGGTAGAAAAGTATTTATCATAGTAAAGTAAAGTATATTTTTAAAACATTACCATAAAAATAAAAGGCTTATCTTGGTAGAAAAAGATTTTCTTATAACATGAATGTTTAGTAAAACCAACTATCATAATAAAGAAGATTCTGCCATTATAGGAAAAGAGTTCAACTTCTTAAAATTTGTCTACTATCGTAATTTTAAAAAAAAAAAGTAAAATACTTGACGTCAAAAGTGGGATCCGAAACTATTTGAATACTTAAAATCATAACATTAATTTAAAACTCTTGAATTCATGGACACATACTTCTCAAAGGCATAATCATCCAAAGACAAGTTAACAAAAGGTAAAAGAGAAAAAAAAATCTTTCTTAAAAATGTTTAAATGTATAAGGACAAAACTGAAAAAATAGAGCCAGTCACTATGGTGCATACTGGCCATGCTGTTGCAAATGGCACAAAAGCATCTGCCTCGCATTTAGGTAGTCTAGTGTGGCTAACAAGATGCTCATCAGGGTGGACAAGACATTTTCTACTATGGTGGATAAGACACTTGCCATAATAGATGACATAGTAACAGTGCTAGGACTTGTTGTCAAGATACATTCTTCACTCAAACTTTAAATATATATAATTGCTCACACAATATTCGATTTAGGTGATTCAAATGTTCATAAAAGTTTATTTAATAATCTAGCTAATCATTTTAATTTGACACACAAATTTCACCATATAAAGGTTTTATCTAGCAAAACCTTTATTAGTTTAAAAATAAACTATCAGCCTTTCGAGCACTTTCTAAACCACTATCAAAATCATAAATTGAAGGGTAGGACACTTGATCCTAACACATACACACCAGATGACATACATGCTGATGCATTTGCTCAAAACACACAATGATCCATAGTTGGGTTTATAACCACCTAACAAAGTTCAATATGAGTAAAATAACTTTTGACTATAATGCATTGATATATCATCACTTAATTATCACGTTCACAAAATATTATAAATAATAACATGAGAGTTAAAAACCATTTTTATGACTAGCACACACAGATTTATATAAAATTAAGAGTCATATTCTCACTTTACAGGTATGAATAATGAGACCCTATAATTAAATAGTATTCAACATACTAACACTATGCCTCAAGTGTTTCTCTAGCTGAGCTCTTTCTTAAAAAATAGTTAACAATAAGGAATAAGACTCAAGGGTCCTAATAGCCAAACTAAAATGCCATCATAGTTGAACATGCAATTAATAATAAGGATTATTGAGTGGGTAAGTAACACATTTCTAAAACACGTCATATCAAATCACAAAACACAATTATAAAGTATGTTGATACCACCTTATAGCCACATCACACCATGCTTGGCACTCTCACTCAACCAAGCAAAAGTAAGCTAGTTCAAGTCACACATATCACCCGTTAGGCCTAATGGGTGCACGTCACGTGGTAGTTTAGTGCAATACACAATGCTCCCAACCTTACATTGCTAGTCATGCAATTTAAAACACATTTTTACATACACATGTTCAAAACACCATAAGTCATGCTTTTAAGCGTACATCCATATTTTAAAAACACATTCTAACATAACATAACTCACTTAGCAACATAAAACTTTCTAAAACAATATTTATCTCCAAATACACATTTCTCACAACACAATTATTTATATAAAAATTTCACACCATCAACTATAAGTCACCAAACATGACAAGTTAGAATGGTTGCCTTTACTCCTTGCAAGCAAGGTTCCCAGAACACATGAATGGCCACCTACTAAGGTGTCTACACCACAATCTACACAATATAATAATGTCAATTTACATTAATAAATTCTAATTATGGCTAATTACAGCACTTACACACTAATCTTAAGGTTAAGTTAGTTAAGCTCATTAATACTAACATATCCTATACACTTATATTATCAAACTTAGTCCCAAAAATCCTCATTATACTCCTTTTGTACAAATTTAACACCTAAAATTCAAAATCATCAACCAAAGTGTCATTTCTAAATCTAGAGTTTCAGATTTGATCATCTTATAATTGTAAACATCACCAAAACTATCTAAAAAAAATTCTTATTTAAACTCAAACAACACTTAAGATTCGGATTTAAGGGCTAAATAAGCTTAAAAATGAAACCCTAACACCCAAAAGTAATTACACCTTAAAAACAAGGATATTATAGGGTAATATGAAGATCAAATAAGTTTACCTTAGCAATTTGGAACCCTAAATTTGTGTTTTAGGTTTAGGAATCCTTAAATCTTAGTAGAGCTTCAAAAAATCTCCCAATAACTCACAAAATATCTCCACTTTGTTTCTGTTTCAAACAAAAACACTTATCGAGATTTTGCATTGTTCATTGCGGCGAAACATGCTACTCACCACAATGAGAAATGCAAAATGCGGTATTTCATTTTTAGTCTACTAATTGGCCCAGTTTAGCCCAATACCTATATTTTGACCTTATTTAACCTCTATACATGTCTCTAAGCCCATTTTAATTCATACTTAAATGCCTAAACCATCATTAAATCTCAGTTATCCTCAAATAAAAATTTATTTCTCAAATCAAACCTCAATTAACAACATCTCCATTTAATTTCTTTAATCCAACCTCAATACAAATTATAAATCCTAAGGTAAGATCCTCAATTAAACCCATATTTCTCATAATTAAATTTATATTAAAATTAGGATGTTACATCTGCTACTAATAGAAGATCGATACATATGGTTGTGCATATGATTTTGTAATACTTTTATTGATAAACAATCTTTGTGATAGTGCTTCTCTCCAAATTTTTGGTGTTTATGCTGGATGATCAAGATTAAACCACTTGTGAAACCCAAATGACAAATTTGACTAAATATAAATCTATGTAAAAAAAAATGATCATATGAAAATCAAAATAACAAGTTTTGGAAAGCAATTTCTCTGTTACATCATATATGCCACTCGTTGGAGTAATTTGAATAGAATAGGCTCTTTTTTCCATTAAAAAACAGATTACCAAGAGTAAACAAACTTTTATTTTTCATTCAGTAAATTAATTTTCATCTTGTATTTCATTTTTTTCAAATACAAATTAGTATAGATACAGTCCAATTAATCTTCTCACCAAACTGCGCCCTAACCAACTAACATAATCTTTCTATTAATGCTAGATTTTAAAGGATCAAACTAGATTATTTTTCCACGCATTATAAATAATAACTCACAGAAACTTTTAATAGGATTCTTGATATGAACAAAATTTTAGCTGAGAAATTTAAAATTTAATTTCAGATAGTTAAAAATAGTAGAGAGAAGAGATGGAATGATGACACGATGATGATGGTGATGAGAAAATAAAGGTAAGACACAATACAAGAGCGTTGTTTAATGGCTTATGAATAGTAAATCAATAGCAATATAATATACAAAATTTTTGGGAAATCACTCTATCCACAACAATATGAATAATTTAACTTGTCACAAGTTCTATAAAATTTTCTGCCCTACCCCCACGTTCATTTTTTTTTTTTAACATTTCATTGGATTTCAGTGCCATATAACTTTTTCAATTCTTTTAATGTTTCCCTGTATTTTAATTGAATACAAATGTTAAAAAAACAATACAATATATCCATTGCATCATGCGGAGGAAACAGAAATCTAGTTATACAAGACTCTCGCTTACACACAATTTTTTAAGTATATGTAATATGGATACAGAGAATGTATCAGAATAGTTCCTGAATATAGATACAATATATCTATGCTTGTATTAGAATCTCTATGCAGAAATTAATGGCAAATACCAGATACGACTATACTTTACATGCACAAATGAGCGCGGCGGGAAAGAAATCCACTAGTTTCGAACAGTTTGCGTATTGACAGGCATAGGTTACACCTGGTTTATGGATTGAAATCGTTATTTTTTTATTCCGATCAGCTTTACACCATTAGATGCCCGAAACTTTTAACTGGCAAGGGCGAAACTTATAACATTTCTCACCAGCCGGACTTGTAATCCAGAACATTTTTTAATATATCAAGGGCAGGGGCAGGAGCAAGAATATATAGACGATACTGTAACTTCTAAGTTCTAATAAATAGTTATTTATATAATATCTCGCTATTCTTTGCAAAGCTTGTGCCGCATTGTGCAGAAATGGAAAGAGTAACAAATTTATCATGTCCTTAAGAAAAATTACAAATTCTGGGCAGTACGCATCCTGAAAGTTAGAGGATCCGCCGTGGAAAATGTTTACACAGGTTGCTTAACTGCGGAGTCACCTGCACCTCTACTTCCAGCCATCTCAGCTACTTCCAGACTAGCAAAGTCTGTGCAGGAGGATTCCTGATCCAGTCCAGCCATGTTTGACGGCGATAGGTTTGTTGGGTGGTCAAACTTACAAGACGGCCCATATTTGCATATTCCATAGCGACTATAGTGCGAGCAGACACTCTGGTCCTGCTTTAGCATAGAAGAAACAGGCAGCTCTAGCTCACAGTTTAATATGACTAATCAAACTCGAGGGTATTTTTCTTTCTATAACCAGAAAGAAAAGCACCTCTAAGGTAAATAGTAAACTGTTAAAGGATTTAGATTGGCATGGCCACACATAAAATATTCTTGGAACTAGGGAACTTATAAACATACATTTGTACATCTGTTTAACAAGGCATGCATGGTTTGAAATCCACTTAAATAACAGCAATAATAAAAATTCCTTTCATTTTAATCAGAAGCCACATGTTTCGGCCATAGCAAATTTTAAATCTCAGTGAATAATAGCAGCTTATATTTTGGAACCGTGCTCAGTTCCTAGTCAGTCCAGATCACTAGAAAGTTTTAAATTTGCCAGTAAGGAGTTTCTTTCAAGATCATGTGCAGGAGAAATTCCGAGAGGAGAGGATAAAGGAAGAACACAGAACAGCATTTCAAAATAATCAAGATATTCAAATTGCAATTTTTTGGTTTCTGTAAACACTTCAGCTTCGTATATAAAAGGTGCTAGTTCTCCCTAATTCAGGGGGAAACAGTTTCTCCATAAATAAGTAACAGCAACATTAAAAACTTACAGGTCTCAAAGGCAGACCCTTGTCACTTAGAGTGCATAGAGGTCTTGTACTGCGGTTCTTTGGATGGTGAAATTTACAATTAGATTTAAATTTGCAATGGCCAGTTTTTAAGTAGTAACTGCACTCTGGTTCACCAGGCCTTTCTGGAAACTCTTCAACCTGCGTCTGCTTCGGATGATGCATAAAGACATTTGTTTCAATAGCTGGGCTGTTCACAATGTATGTAGATGGTGGGTGCATAGTCCTCTCAGGTAGGTAGACAGGTGCCTTTACAAACCACAAACAAAGGTCAAATAAATAGGAAAACAATCACTACTAAAGTTCAACAGGAAGAATAGTAAACTCTTTAGGCCAGAAGGAAGGGGATAAAAAGGAACCATCCTTGTCTCGGATCATGTACCAGTTAATCATAGCCTGCTTCATCAGAATTAAGACAAAGCCGCAAAAGATTATCAAAAGAAGTGATTGCAAACGAAAGGAATAGGGGAAGGGGTGGTGGAATGAACGTGAAATCCAAAATATTAAATTCTATTCAACATTTCATTAACAGCTCAAAGCATGATGGACAATTTCAGGTTCACTTCTAGCCTTGCAAGCATGCAGTAATGGGTTCATAGCTTCCTCTGTATAATGACTTAATAGAAAGCCTTCGGATACACAGTTGTCAGCGATGATTTACCTGATATCCATTCCAATCAGAACTTTGGGGAGAAACCCCTTGAACAGGAGGAATCATCATTGGCACAAACGGGGCAGTTTCATTGAATGTTCTTGGAGAAGACCAAGAGGGTATAGATGGCTGAGATACACCTTGTAAAGAAACAGCCCCACCATTAGCAAATGTTGAAGGAGGATCACTTCCTCCAACAGTAGTAGGATCAGGGTGATTGAATTTGCAGTTTGCTCCAAACTTACAAGAGCCAGTACGCATATAATAGGGGCACTCTTTCTCCCCCTGTCATGAATAACAACCTCATGAAAGTTAAGGGAATAGTAAGTTCAGAATGGAGAAAGAGACAAGATAGGAATTAGGAAATATCTGGAAACAAAAATGAAGTTTCATCATAACTTGATAAACAGGAAGCAATGTTTATACCAGACGAATAGGCAGGCCGAGAAAGTTAAGTTCTAAAATAGTGGTTGGAGAACATTTTCCTCTGGTGTGGTTAAATTTACAAGCCTTTCCGTATTTACAACCTCCTGACTTTAGATAATACTGTCAAAACATAAGAAAACCAAAATGTTTACCATAAATATGTCATGCATGGTGCAAACACAGAAGTTATGGCTCAAGAAAGAATTCAACCATGATGCTTCTTACAAAACTCATTCAACAGAGGTCAAGGCATTTTTCAATATAGCAATAGATAAAGTAGTCTAAGGAGCAAGGAGTGTTCATTTTTCCTGTCATCTCCCATTCCATTCATCCATATATTCATCAATTTATTCCTTTGGATCTAATCTATGTATCTACGACTATTATTAATTTTATATAAATGTTAATTTTATAACTGCCATCAACCATATTTATCATTATAAGGCCAACATGAGTAAACTAGACAGTGTTTGAGCATATACCACAACTGAAAGAATTCCACCAACTAATATGCCATGATAATTCCTGTCCTTAGCTAATGTATATTGGGTAGATATTGAAGTAATTGAGATTTTTTTACTCTCAGCGCCAGCAATGATTAACATATTGTATTGATCAATGAATTATGATATAAACTTTACGTTCTATGTATATCACTTAGTCAAACCTAGGCATTGTTCATTATTTATCACATAGTCAAATGACAAATTCAATAGTCCACATCCTTTACAATGGCAAAACGCCATGGCCTACCCTTCTCCTGCACTGTAGAAAATACTACAGTAGCTAAAATTGAACAAATAGTGTCTCAATTCCATGACCTGTAATCCAATAAAAGGGAAAAGTAATTGCTTAATAGAACCAATGAATTTTCTTTTCAACAATGAGACATGATTAATGCACAACTTAAGTCATCACATTGAGGATGAGATAACACAATATTAATATTACAGTTTGCAACAATAACTGCATAACAACATAAATTTGACCATAACCTTGCATTCAGTCTGCCCTGATCTTTCTCCTGATTCTTCTCTTTCTTTTCCCTTCTCCTTAACAACCTACAATTAATGTCAAAACATCAAACACAGAAGTTTTATGAAGTAACGGTTAAAAAACGTTTCCAGTTTAATAAAACATAAGAAAAACCAATTGATGCGCGCTCATACATATTCATTAAAGATTTTGGAAAAACCAATTTCTAAGCGATACAGAAAAGGAACTCCAAAAATGAACCCTCTAAATACACATGAACAACCAATTTCTTCATAAAGTACAAGTAAAGGTTGAGCATCGAGCAATCGGTCATGACGAAAAATCCTTACCAGTATCTCAAATAGAAACATAATCTCAAAAGCAAAATGCCCTTTTCTCAATTCTAGCAGACATGGATGATTGTTTACACAACACAAAAGGAAGCAGGGATTAATGTTCACATGAGAAATTCTATAGTTTAGTTCTAGTATATGCATTCATTGAATAATATATAGTGTAGTAGAGTACCTTGATTTTCTTCCTAAGAGGGTGATTAAACTTGCAGTTAAACCCAAATTTGCAAGTTCCAGTCTTGAGATAGAACGCACAATCTTCAGCTTCGGTCCTCACCGGGTACTGGTGTGCTCTACTGCTGCTTTCCCATCGTTCTTCTCCACCTTATCACCGACAGTTACATTATCCAAACCAAAATTATCATTCTCACTCTCGTTCACATTCTCCCCCCAACCATCGTCCTCATTTCCATTCCAATTCTGGTTATGTTCATTGAAAACTTGTTCCTTCTCAGATTCTCCAGTACCAGCTATACCACTTACTTCTTTACCATCATCAAATTCAGAATCTTTCTTCCCCTTTTCCTCTTCGTCCCTTCATCCTTATCCTTCAAATCCAACTTATCCTGAAGGTCTTCCTGAAGGGCATCAGTCTCATCCCTGGGATTGAGATCTGACGTTTCAGGATCGTGATGGGAACTAGAGAGGAAGAAGCTGACTGATTTCCCAGTTCTGGATCTTTGACGGAGTTCGAAACAGCTGTTGAATCGGATTCAGAGGATCCATTCTCCCTCCACATTTCAAACCCTAATAAGTGACAACAGAGATTACTGAAAAAGAACTTGAATAGATTTAGGTCGGGGGAGCTCTTATGTTTTGACAGAGAACTGAGAAGTAAGCAGTTCGAAGTGTCTAGTGTGAACACAGAAGTGAACGAACGAAGAAAAACGGGCGTTGCTTTTTGGCCTTTGATGGGGTGTCTGAACTCTGAACACTACTACAGTTTCGTTGTTTTCATATTTTTTAGCTCGTAATTGCCCGTAATTTTGTACGGGTCAAGGGATATGCTATATCGTATGCGGCTGCCAGAAGAGGAAATCGAATTTGAAAAGTTAATTTAATAATATTAACTCAAAACCCATTTTGAGAAGATGATTATCGATTTGGAATGTCGACACACGCATCTGATTAGAATGTAGAAGTGAGATATTTGGGTCTGGAAATCGAAAAAAGCGTGGGTGGGGGGGTCAGGTTCAGGATCAGGAGCAGCCAAATTCTAAACAATGGGCTTTGGAAACAGATTGAGGAAGTGGATTTGTCTGTTTGTAATTGAAAGATGTCAGATTATGCATTGTTGTTTTGGGGTCAACTGATAATAATAATTCATAGATATTGTGAGTGGGGTTTGCTATTTAATGGAGCATCTTCCAGGTTGGCCATTATGCAAAGAAAGGAGGGAAGAATCCACGGACCAATTTGTATTTTGTACTCCCAAATCACCCCCATAAATTAGAAGTTGGGAGAGGCAATAAGCGTACTTCTCTTCTTTTTATCTCTTTTGTATTGATATTGTGTAGGTAGTTCCTTTACTGGTGAGCGCCTTGACCTTCAATTGTATAAATTTTGCTATGCTTACTTGATGAGCCCGAGTCGAGGTTGGGGGGAAAATTCGACGTTTCAAAATCTGCATGAGATAAGATGATGTTATTGATTTGATGAAAAATAATCAAATAACTACAATATTTATAATGCAAAAATAGTTTGACCGTGTGCACAGCAGGCGTTACACAGTTTTAAGAAATAGACATTATTTATAACTTATGAATGGTGTGACCTATATCTGTGCACGTATAGGAATATGCATATTTACATACATGCATAGGAATTGGTGCGCGCGTGCCCACACACCCAGGATTTATTTGGAATTGGGTTCACTACAGGTATAGGGATAGTCAGGTAGGCCATTAGAATGAGAATGAGAACAAATCTGCCAGCCATACTCCTCTCTGCCGTCTATACAATAGAGCAAGATCACCTCCAAGCAAACGGGACGTTTGAGTACTCATCATGGTATGTCAAGCCTATCTTAAAATGTTTCCTGCAAGCACACACACACACACACACACACACACACACACACACATATGTATGTCTGTCTGAAAGAGTTTGAGTTTTGCAAACAAATAAGCTTCAAAACCATGCCCTCATTGCACCATCACACGAACCTGCAACCCTTCTTTAGTGCCATTTATTACGATCAAACGCTAGAGACTATACCAAAAACTCTTTTTTTAAGTGTGCAAGTATATTTCTTTATGTATAGTTCTCTGGTGGCATGAGGACGCTACGAGCATGAAGCATGGAAGCTGACTAAAGCCAAAGGTTTGAGTTTGACCATCTCATGAGTACGGCCTTACAGGAGTATGCATTATGCATTAGTACGGGTAAATAAGGAGGGTTGCTTGCACCAAAGTCAACAGGGTACGTACAGAGACATTGGGGCAACGATTGATCAATATTGATTGAGAATCATGTTTCTAGTCCAAGTATCTAGTCCTAGCCCCGTCAATTGAACAATGAGCTAGTTAAATTCATAATACTTATTGGTGACTCTTCTCTGGTGAATGGCCAGTATTTCGCTTATGACGACTAAAATCAGGCAGAAACCTAAATGTTTGCCAACGGCCAGGCTCAGTGCAAGCATACATGGACTAACTCCGGTGTGTGCTAGGTCAGCCTTCTCCCTCCTCTTCACCATGTAAACAACTAAACTCTGTCGCTATTGGATTGCCCATTTCGCAATCGTGGAAACTGCTTCCTTTGCTGAGAAGCATTTGCTTTAACAATCAAGCAGCCGAGCACTGTGTTTTACAGACTGGGATGTCTGGTTTTTCACACTGCCAGGCTTAGCATGCATGTTTAATTGGCTTCGGTGTCTCTAATTTGAGTAGATTGCTTCGAAGAAGCCTCTTGTGCTGCTAGTGAGAATCATCCTCCACTTGACCATCCGAATTACTGTCATCTCCATCCATGCATTTAACTTGCTTCCTTTTCGGTGGTTTTTGCGGTAGACGATAATTTTCAATGGAGACGTCCAGAACTTCTCTATTAATGCATTTCTTTTGCGTGCTCCTTTTTTTGCTTCTTCTGAACTTGATGATCTAAATGTTCATCAGACATTACATCTTCCTTAATTAGGCATTTTGCTTGCCTGCTTTTAGAAGTCCTTCTTTGATACTTCAGAAAAATATTTTCAAGTCACTTATTAGATGTAGTATCCTTTCCAGCAAGCTAAGGTGTCTAGTTTGTCTGCTTTTGGGAATCCTTTGTTGTTGAGTGTGACACCCCAGTTGGTCATCAGATGTTAACAAATCATTTTTAGATCTTATACCAGCAATCTAAATATAAAGAAGTTCAATGAAATAAGAATTTTTTTTAAAGTTTCATGTGTCCTTCTTTGAAATTGTCAAATGTTGCCGTATAGTCATTAATGGAGTTGTTCAATTGACAACTAAATAACAAAATTAACTTATATAAATTAATTTTGTTATATCAGTTAATATAAATGACAACTTTAATTTTTTAAAAAAAAGATATTTTAGAGTAATTTTGTAATTTCATTAGAATTTTTTTACTTAATTTGTTTTTCATGTAAGACCTCAAAATAATTTTTTACAATATTTAAGTATTTTATCAATGTTTTATCCATTAAGTGTTTCTACAAATGTTATGAGTAGTAAGATATATTTGAATTTTAATTCACCCAAATATTTTTTTCACAAAGAAGAATAAGATCTATAGACAACTAACAATTATTAGCATGACAACAAAAAGAAAATAGAACCTCAATTGAAGACGTTAGATTAATGATGGGTGGACTTACCAATTTCTCAGAGGTGGGGTTATTATTATATTGTATATTCATGCGTAGCTCCATGTTTCTAAATTGATTCCTTTGGATCTGGCAAAAAATAAATAAGATAAAAAAAAAATGAATGGGTAATTTTCATGTTATACCAGTTACTTTTCCATTTAATTTTTCAATTATACTTTTTAAAAAGTTTATCTAAAATTCATAAAAAAATTATTTTATAAATTATAATTGTGGATTCATGATTGATTTTGTGATATATATGATATCTGCATATTCTTGCAAAAATTATAATTTTAAGTTTGTAATTAATTTCAATAATAAATGTCTGAATTTTTTAAGAAAATCAAAATTTTAGGCTCAGGATTAAGTTTGCCATATAATAGGAGTACTTGAATACATTTTTATAAAACTTTACTCCCTCAGTTTAAAAATGTAAAATATTTTTTAAGAAGTTGAATGTTTAAAAATATATGAAACATTTTTATCTTTTAAAATATAATGATTGATTTTTTTTTAAAAAAAAATACCCCCATTGATGAATGACTTTACATTTATTATAAAATGTTTAATAAAAATAAATATAAAAAGATAAAATAAATTTAAAAATAGATAATTATTTTTTTAAAGTAAAATTATATTAAAAATATTTTATATTTTTAAATGGAAAGACTAACTTTAATTTTTATAATTGATTTTTGCACCTCCCCAAACAAGGCAAGCACAATGATGAGTTGCTTCCGGTTGGGACAAAAGTCCAAACTCTAAAACCAGATGCAGGGCATCGGTCAGACAAGACTGTAAGTCATGCACAGCACTGATATAACCCTGCCCGCACCTCCATTCGCCCTCGTGTACGAGGGCCTTCATTGTGACTTTCATTCCAAATAAAAACTAAATGTGTTATTAATTTTTTTTTTATATTTAAAACTATAAGAATAGGCATCTATACAGCATGCAAGAATTTGTGAAGTCCGAAAAGCTGCCTATCTTTTTTTTTTTTTTTGCCTGAAAACTACCTATCGTTAATGAGATGCAAAATCATTCTTTAAGAATGCATGAGGAGAGGCCTCTGCATAACTTTGACATGGCAACCGCCTTAATCCCGTTAGACTTCGCTGCATCCAGTAATGGATCTGATTGGAGGGCCTTGTCAAAACAATACTTGGCCTCTTCCAACAGACCCTCTGCAACAAAAACAAGACCCAGATTGTTATATGCAGGAGCGTAGCCAGGTTGTAGTTCAAGGGACTTTGTCAACATTGCCTTGGCACGTTCATACTTTTTCTGCTGACGATAGAGATTCCCCAGATTGCATAGTATAGCATGCGCTTGTTGTGTTGTCGCCAGTGCCAAGGCCTGCTTATACACTTGTTCAGCTTTTGATGGTTCTTCTGATAGTTGAAGTGAAACACCTAATCATACATTTAAACCGTTAAACAACAATTATGCAGAATGGTTTCTTCATCAATTCGGGTGAGGGAAGAAATCTAGACCCAAGTTGCCTCCCCAACGGTATAAAGTGTAAGCTCTAGAAAGAACACTGGGTGTTTAAAGGGAGGAGATTGGGCGCACCTAGATTTGACCATGCATAGCTACAGTGCTTGTCACGGGCAACAGCAGCTTTGAGATACCTTTGAGATGTTGTGAATTGCCGAGTACAGAGACTATGAAGACCAAGTTGGTGCCACTGCACAGCATCATCTGGATCTTCTGCTACAGCCTACCAGAAAAAAGAATGACGAGAAAACTGAGAAGGAGTGATACCTATCGTGTAGATACCCAGATAAAATGGCATTTCATACAAGCTGTGTAAACTGTAAACAACACAGCATGCTCGGAAAACGCTCACCTATCAAGTGCATGGTTATTAAGATAAAGCTTTAACAGAATTTCCATATCTGCATTGCCCCATCTCATCCCCAATGAAAGTAACCATATGAAACAACAAATTACCTGTTTTAAAATGCGAACAGCACGCTCTTCAACTTCCATCAGGTCATGCTGTTCAGTTTCAAAAGCGGCTGCTATTTCATGCTGGGCCTTGTGAACCATGGAAAGTCCAGCCCATGCTACAGGAAGCTCAACGAAGGATGAATCACCATCTCTTATTATAGAAGCCATCTCATTTCCAGCCCATGAAAGCTGCTCCCGATCTAGAGATCTTTCAGCATCCTTTACTCTATGGATGGCAACAGCGTATCTAGTAGACATGCAATTAGGCTCCAGTCTTGCTGCCTACAACGCAATGGCAACAGGAGACAAAACCACAGCCCCACCAATCAGACTTCAGAGAAAGTATAATATCTAAATGCGAGGAAAACTGTTGTTGGCACAGCAGAGCCTATCCAAAGAGCAATACATGCATGACCACCAACAAGTAGAATTTTTAATTTTTAATTACCATCACTTCCAGTATATGAAAAAGAAAGCACAAGAAAGCATACAAATGGATCAGAAAAAGTTCATATCACAAAATCCAAGTTTAAAACCTTTCCAACAAGAACAACTGAACAAGGACCAGGAAATCATTTAACCACCTCAATAAATACACTATAAATGACTTTAGGAATAAGCCGTGAGCACCTTCTCCAAGCACTTGCTGGAACTTCTATGATCACCACACAGAGAAAATGCATTGGCAAGATTTGTCCAGATATGTCCTGATTTGGGATCTGCTTTTACTGCAGCTAGCAAACATTCCTTCGCAACACTAGCAGCTGCAACCTGGTCTAAAGAAGCACCTTCTGGAGCACTTGCGCCAGCACCTGAGGGTAGTTAAAAATCAAATCATAGAATATTCTTCAACCTCTTAATATCAATGAACGGGTAAATTAAATATTACACAAAGTTGAGAGCTTCTAGCAGTGTAGAATACCTGCTACAACTGAAGAATATTTACATAAAAGAAGGGCAGCATAGTTGATCAAAGCTGCAGGATGATTCTGATCTTTTAGAATCAACTCTTGGAAGCATTTTGCGGATAATTCCAAATTCCCACTGGGACAGTATAATCAATAGCAGTTACATATAGGAGATAAAAATAAATAATATTAAGTAATTTTAACCTGTTTCCAATTGAAATTGAAGAACTCACTCTTATTTTTCAACTAATTCAGTGCAATTGCAACAAAAATTAAGTGGACAAAAATTAAGAAGGTTGAGCCATTGCCCAGAAGATGATAGCTAAAACCATATATTACAAAAGCGGCAATGAATTTGTAGACACATTAAAGCTGTTGATTGAATGTTTTCCAACTCAATTAATACACACAATAGTCACCCAAGTGTCTCTCACTTTTGTTTTCATGTTTTGTATTTGTTCTGAAGGCGAACTTTTGCCCCATTTGACCACTATTTCCCACATGATCTAAGTTAAAGACCCTTGTTTTATGAGAAAAGTTAATAAATAAATGCTCTTACGGCAATTTGTTTGCCGCATTGAGCTTCCTTTTTCCTGTTGTGTAGGAGGTCTTAAATTCTTCCTATTTGTCATAAGTCATTACCTTTATGGATCTCCTTAATTATTACATGCCCACAGATGGAAGTTTCACATTATATTTCATATTAATTTTTTTTACTGCATTATCAATGTGACAGCAATAACTACGTAGTTTATTCTTTCTCCTCTCACAGTCAACACTTCTTTTGTATTTCTATGTTTTCTTCGTTTAAGAGATTATTTATTCTTCAATCTCAGTTTCAAGGATCTTCATTGTCTTTCCCTTTTAAATTGCTTTATTCAGGATGCTATAATCAATTTTCATATCAATATCAAGGGAAAATTAATGTTCTAGTCCTCATAGTTTTCATTAATTTTGAACTCAGTCCCTATACTGTATTTTCATATTCCTCAGTTGATGAAATATGAGAATAACATATTTGAAGAAACCTAGGCTAGTAGCTTATTATCATTGTATGTTGCTTGTACAAAACCTAGAAAGAAGTAAGTTACTTTTGTTATTTTAATATTTTGTACGAAGGGAAATCTAAAGCCTAACTTTATATGGACAAGGTGTTAAGGTTTCCTTTTGTGTTCTTTTGTAAGAAGAAATCTGAAAGTTAGCTTTATATGTAGATATGATTAAGGTTTCCTTATTTAGACATTAGAGTTTTGTTAAATAAACTTGGTTGCACTTATAATGGACACTTTTGATGAATGAATGAGTATGTGTAAAATCTGATAGCTTTCTCTCTCCCTCCGCGTTCTGCCTCTCCCCCTTGCTCCCCCACTGGCCACTGTTCTGTCTTCATCTTCCTCATTTCTTCCTCCTTATTTCTGATTTCTCTCTACTCTTTCCCTCTGTCCAGCACCGTGCAAGTGTGAGTGTGTGTGTGTGTGTTACATCATCAGTCCCCGTACAATTTTTCTTTAAGAAGCTCTCGTCCCCAACCCATCCAAGTATGCAAATGCTTAACAGCATTTGCTGACATGGAAATGGCGGTTTAGATGTATTCATGAGCATAGTGAGTCACCTACCACATACTAAAAATACCTGTGGAAATGCTGAAGAAAAAAAAATAAAAGAAAGACCATGCTAATCGTGTGAGCTGAGTGAAGAACAACATTGGGTATGAAAAATATAGGGTTTTGATTGATCTAATTGCAATGGTGACCAAGGTTGGAATCTCAGCAATTTCAGGCAATGGTGGCTGGCAATCTTGTTGTGCAAGTCAGGAACCATGTCAGTGGACTAGGAATTTCAGGTAATGATGGACTGGGAATCGTGATGGGTAGCAAGGTGACAGTGATTTCAAGCAACTGTAACCGAGCTTGGAATCTTGGTGATGTTAGGAAGGTACCAGTGATTTCAGTTGCTTTATTTTGATTTCATTCTGCAGCCCGAAATGCTTACAAGATAATTGAAAATAGTTGCAATATGAGCAAAGAGGATAAAATGATAGTATACCACAGCGACATTGTTGATAGTTAAATTTATCTATTTTAATTTGGTTTGTTATTTTAGTGATTAAATTGCCATAATAGCAGCAAGTCATTCTAGCATTTCACATCTGGGTTCTTTGCATAAAGCCTTCCTCTTGGGTTCATCCCCCCCCCTTTTCTCTCTCTACTGATCAAGTCCATTCATTCTTCTCTATCTCGGCTATTTATCTCCATTATCCCTCAGTTCTTTTCATTCAGCTTGGTTTTCTTATCTGCTCCACAAGCTGGTTTATTTTTTCTTTTTCTCATTGTCAGGCAGCTCACTCGTCATACAAATGAATCCAACTTATCTTCCATTTACATGTCAGCAACTCTTGAATAGCAACTGGGTTGTATGAAAACAATACAGGGACTGAGTTAAAAATGCGTACAAAAAACAAGGACTAAAGCATTAATTTTCCCTAATATCAATCATACCAGTACTTTGCATCACATAGGGGTTTGAGCAAAGTATTTGTTAAAAACATTAATTCCAGGGGAAAAAATATTGTGACTTAGATGCCTATCCACTTATTTTCTTAACAACCACACTTTTACTTTTTCCTCAGAACAAAAAAAAAACAAAAGAAAAGAAATCGCCATTAAAATTTACCTTTGAAGATATGAAATCCCAAGATTTCCCAGGCAATCATAGTTGTCTGGTGCAATAGCCAACAATGATGACAGTACTGTGATCGCACTCTAGACCAGCAATTGAAGTTCACATCAGTTCATGCAAAGGGTAAAAATAGTAACATAACATAAATTGCGGAAACAGCTTGACAATATCAAAAGGCAAGCATAAAGAGAGAACTAGAAGAAACTATTAGATTACAAGAGTTGATAGGAGGCACTTGTACCTGCAAACGACCAGTTTTAAGAAGCACATATCCTAGAGTATTCCATACAGCTGCCTGCCTGATATCTGATTGCACAGACTCCTTTAGTTTGGAGAGAATTTCCTCGAGTTCATGAGGTTCAAGTTCTTTATCTGAACTATTTTCTACTGCACTTTCTAGTACCAGGCACTATACAAATTATAAAATAAGTCATTGAAATGAAAAGTTATAATCAGTATTGCTATGTATCAAATTAAAATTATTTTACCTGTGCATGGTGAATTTGAACTAAAGAAAGCAACTCTGGCCGACTAATCTCAGCCTCAGACCGAAGTAAGATCTCTGCAGCCTTCTCATATGCCGATAGAGCCTGAAAAGTATTAATAGTACTATAAGCAAACAATACGCAACAAGCTAAAAAAGAAATGGGTGAATTAAAAAAAAACAAACAAACAAACAAAAACTACCTTTTGAGGTTGGCCCAACCTTTGGTACATTAGGCCAAGTATAAAATGAGCATGTGCATTTTTGGGCATCTTCCTTGCAACATGAGCCAAGCCCTACAAAAATCAACTCTATCAGTTAATGGTAGAAGCAATAAAATAGCAATGACTATGGCCATAGTCATAATGTTAACAAAGTCAATTTTGCACCTTCCCACCTCCCACTCTTTTACACATACCACTGATTCAGTGGTTGAAAAGCATGAGTAAAGAAACAGTTAAAAATTTGGGTGGGGTAAAATTAAATGTCACGTGATGCTAGACATTATTCATCTTGAAATATTCTTGTTAAGTAAACCCAGGAAAAGCTATAAATAAGCAAAACCAATAAATGAACTTTGAGAAATGGTACATAAGAAAATGGTAATTAAAATTTAAAATCATGCTTCCATCCTGCAAATAGAAAGCCAGAAGCTATTCTGTGATGTCATAAGCAGCTGCATAAACATTGGCAAAGAAATATAGCCTACTTGAAAAGAGGAAAGATGCCTTGGGATTTCTGTATGTGCGTGTGTGTACATGTATATATCTATGAAGACAAGGGAGCAAGAAAAGTGTTTTCAAAAAGCGCCATTACAATCACAAATGATGGGTAAAAATATTTCAATGAATCCAGAAAACCAAAAGATACAATGAGTCATATGCAGGCCAAGACTGCTAGATATGATCCATCTCTTTTAGTTCTTATTGCCAATGCCGATATGGTTCCACAAAACGAATACAATTCATCAAAGGCCCTCTAATTCCTGCAAGAGCCACTTCTCAGCAGTGAAAGACTTTAACTGATTAACCCAAACTCTTAAGCATATTTTGATTTGGCAAAGTAAAACCCTATCTTTGCCTTCAAAGATAGCCTACAGCAGAACAAAATATACAAACTCCATTTTTCTTCTCATGCAAAAGCAAACGATTTGTGTTGCTGGCTAAAATAAATCAGCAACAAGAAAAATAAATCATAACTTTAAGGGAAACTCACAGTCTTCAAACTGCTAACTTTTTCCTCTCGAGAGGAAGGAACCCCTTGGACATGCTGATCACCATCTCCATCGGCTCCGCAATCAACAGAAGAATCTGTCTTACTAAATCTGGAGCGGCACTTCCCCAGTTTGTGCAACTTTTTACCTTCACCATCAGCACTATCAGTGCCTTTGGACAACATACTCTTCTCTTGACCTTTTCCATTTGTTAACCTGTAAATTCATTCAAAAAAGAACATATTAATAATGAAGACCAATGACAAAAAACTTTTAATATCATTAACAAAAATAATTTGTTCTTCAATGACAAGTTCAAAGAAACTTTCTTCCCCTTTCAGGAAAACTTGGGGAAAATTAAACAAAGAGTGAGGAAAAAAGGATTTTTCATATAAGGAAACCCTCCCACCAGCCGAATTCCACTCTACAAAATGTACAACAGTCTCTTTCCCCAAAAAGAATACATGTTTTATTACAATACGTTCAACAAGATTAGGATTTCAGTACCCATAGTGGTTGACACCAGAAAATGGAGATAAAACAGAACCAGCTCCCAAGCCAAAAAAAAAACAGAGAGTGAGAGAGAGAGACCAGATTTAATTGAATAAGTTATAATTTCATAAACCTGTAGTGGCAAAACAAATGAAAAATCAGCTTAAACATCATAATTTTATGTTTGGCAAATGAAAATTTATATTTGACACACTGTTAAACAAGTAAATCCCTTCAAGAAAAGCCATTTTTAATTGAAAATCATGCTTTCATATAAAAATGTTGCTGCCAGAAATTTTTTATTCATCAAGCGTCCAAATCATCTGCAGTAGAGAGGTTGACAGCCTCAAGTTCATCAGGCTGTGACTGTATGTTTGATCCGTGGTTGTCCAGCTAGGAATGTCATGCCGTAAACATACAAAAGAGAGTAAATAATGTGATCTGAGGCAAGAATTCTCTCCGCTAATGGAAGCATGAAAATGCACCATTTTGAGCACTCATTACATAGAGTTTCAGCAAATGCCCCCATCTTCTTTGGAATTTGCTGGGAAAGTTCAGAAGCTTGGCGATATATCTAATCAGTCTGAATTCCATCCACCTTCTTCACCTCTCTCTGAACTACGAGTCACCTATGGACCCCACTGGGAACACTTGCTTGATGGAAGAAACGTCAACTTGGATGAAGGTGGTCGGAACAGGTTTCCGAATTTGGATCTTGTCATGGGTTCAGAGGCAGAACTCCATTGATGACTCGTTTTCTTGATGAAAACGAGGCTATCAATGTCCTCACTGAACTAATTACAAAGGATCCACACGCCATGCTAATTTTATACAAGCTGTGAAATATCAAACTAGCTTCCCTTGAAGACAGTTTGAAGAAATGTTTATCAGAAGAAGTATACAAAACAAGACATTTTGTGCAAAACCCAAAGTCTTGTGTTGAAATTTAAGATTAATTGCTTCGTAACATGGAGTAACATAGAGTTTGGCGATACCACTCATAAATGAAAAGAAGTTAACGAAGCAGTTTTCCGCTAATAATTTCTACACAACAACAGACTCTATCCGTTTTATGCCGTTATATTCTCATGCACATACAGTTTAGTCAAACAGATAGCCTGCAATCAAATATAATTTACACAAGCAGACATTTCCAAAATGAAATTTTTTAATCAGTCCTTATAATCAAGCCGCTGGTTCCATGCCACATTAAATTGCCAAGCCTTTTTTTTTTTTTTTTTTGCTTAAAGTATGGATATATGCTTCAAATGGTCTTCAACAAATTGCAGAAAACAGGAAATTTTAATCTCAAAAAGTCGCTGCCGAGTGCCGACCCTATAAGGTTCGAGCTACCGTCAGTTAAGCCTGCTAAGATATTATATGCTTTGTATACCAAGATGTGAGCATACAAACCGTGACATTTTACTCCTCGTCGCCGGAACTTACTTAAAAATCAAACTTAGAATAGAATGGCAACAACATAAAAAATAAGAGAAGGTAGCTATAATTCGCAGCAAAGAAAATTAAAATTGAAGTGAAACGAGGCAAAAGGAAGATTGCAAACATGGTAATTTCTGGCGGAGGCACGTGGGGGGAATCATCCTCCTCTGCTTCGGGGGGGTCGACGTTGAGGTCAGCCAAAACGACGAGCTTCGGATGCTGGAGAACCTTCGAGCTCTCTGCTGCGCCCAACTCTGATTTTGGAAGCAAAACATTACCCCGGGGTTCCAGTGGTTCGGGCATTTCCTCCCCTTGGCACTTCGAGCAGTATCGTCGACGACGATTGCGCCTCCTCAAACAATATCCCTCGAGTTAGTCATTTATATTGGACTTCTTTTTACTTTGTAATAATTATATCATATACAGGGAGAATTACTAAAAAATCACTAGTTGGAAGGGGAAATTATGTCTAAGGTCCAACCCGAATTTGAAGGCTAGATTGAATATTTATTCATAAAATAATATGTTCAATTGACAGAATTGTCCCTCTGTTTTCAATGCAGCACATCCCTAATTAGGGAACCACCGTGGAGGCTAGAGATGAAGCAATGGCTGAACAAGGGAAGGTTAAACACGACTATGACAAACGATGTCGATGAAAAAGCAACCAGCAATGCAAGTGAGGGCTTGGTCAAGAACGTAGATCATGTTGCATTGTTGAATGGTATTTTTCTATTTGCATGTTTAATTTTTGACTATTAACCTTATCTATTGTCTCTTTAGTGCGCTTCCTCTCTTCCCTGTTTTGCTTCAATTCAACATGAGCCAGCGTGCTAGCAAACTACCATGCCTCTTCATCCATTCTTCTTCCTTTATTCTTCATTGTGTTTCATGAATTAACTGCTCGCGACTTTGCTTCATGAAATGGGTGTGTCCTTTCTGCTTCCTCCTAGTTCTTCACCCTATTCTTGCTCGACTTAGCTATTTGATTTTGTTCACTAATTCACTTCTATTTCTTTATTTTTTTTGTTGTCTGACTCTAGTTATCCCTCCAATTCCTTATTTGATTTTATTTATTGGTTTGCTTCTTACTTTGTTTAATTTGATATATGGTTATTTGTCGGTTTGCTTCTTACTCTATTTAATTCTGTTACATTTGTTCAATTTGGGTCATGGGAGAGAAAGAATTTGCTTATGATAAGGTAATAAGGTTTCTAGTGTTGCAAGCTTCTTTTCCAACTTACCTAGTTTTGCTTCTACACTTTCCAATTTAGATACCAAAGTACTTCTTTCATTAGAAGAATGGACTTATTATTCAACAACTTGCAGAATTCTTCCAAGCTATTTGATTTAGCCCTCAAACCTTCCAGTTCAATGCTGCATCAAACAGGGACTTCTCCAGTAAGGCATTCTTTTATGACAAGTTGTGCATACTTTTAATGATTATTTGTAACTATGAAAATAAGGTTGATTGTTTAGCATTGAGGATTGATTTTTCTTCCAAGAGAACTTGGCAGGTCTCCTTAAACTCCCTCACTTCACCTTTTAAGCCATCTAACTCATCATTCTATTTTTATAGGGAACTTCTATAAAGGAATTTGTCACTTGAAAGTTTACATATGTTATCTTGCTCAAATCATCATATAAGAGTATAATTTTTGCTTTCACATGAGATTGAATTTATGTCATTTACTGAGGCTTTATGCCCTTTTTTTGTGGGTAAGTTCATTGTATAATTTACTATTAAATTAGTGTTACTTGTGGAATAACTTGATGTTTCTTCTACTACTATGACATGGTATGTTTCAAATCCCCTCTTTATGGAAATTTGTCAAATAGACTTGGTTGGTGAAAGATAGGTAGATGCAAGATAGGCACACTTGTGAAAAAAATGGTGCTTCAATGTGCTAGCCACAATTTTGAGTGCTTAAATCCACAATACTAGCATGCAAAATCAAATGTGTGTGTTTATATGGTGTAGTAGTAATTAAGGGTTGTTGCTATCGAAACACAAATAGTCAAATTTACTGAGGTCTCTCTATTTCTAGTTAGCTTAGATTTTGAGTATTTAATAAATTATAAAGTTGAAAGTGATTCTATCATATCTTTGTTATTGCATCAGACAGAGAAAGAGAAGAAAAGTGAGAGAAAGAGAGATAAAAGATAGGAGAGAGGTTTAGAGAAGAGAACAAGCAGAGTTTGGATTTATAATTGTATATCAAATTCTGGATTTAATAGTTATTTCTTTTATTAGTTGTGCTTCTACCTAACAATTTAAAAACCCAATTACTTTGAAGCATCCTATAATGAAACATAAGGTTTTGTCTGAAGAAGAGAAAAAAATAAATTTAAGTCAATAAACTCTTGCATACATATTATAACTCGAGTGAACTACAAGGAAATGCTAATCAAGAGATTCTCTTGAAAGATTAAATAAAATTATGATTATATTTTGAAGCATACTTATAACCATCTCCTTTTTTTTTAGTATAGGGTAGATTGTAATTTGATATGGAAATAATGTTATTCTTACCCTTACGGTATTTTTTTTAATATGGGGTGCCTAATGGTTATTGTTTATAGTTTTGTTTGTACCTAGCATAAAGATAGACTAAAACTATAGGAGTTAATGTTCTTTCATTGAAATTATTATTGTTCATTATACCTCTTCACATTTACTTGTTTTTCATGAAAATGATCACTAATTTCATGTAAAACAATATATGAAGAGCCTCATGAACATGCCTGAACAAAAATTACATGTAAGATCTAACGAATTTTCTACCAAGCAAATACACAAAAACGATACCACTACTAGCGTTCCTAAATTCCATAAAAACAACCACCAATTCCATGTAAAACAATTTATGAAAAGATTCACGAATATGCCTAAGCAAAAAAAAAATGTAAGATGTAATGGATTTCATGTAAAACAAACACATAAAGAGCACGCCACTATCAATGTCTCTAAATTCCATGGAAATGACTACTAATTCCACGTAAAACAAAGCTATAAAGAGATTCGCGAATACGCTTGAGCAAAAATTACAAGTAAGGTGAAACTAATTCCATGTAAAAAAAATGCAGAGAGCATGCCAACCTAAGCTAGAATCCTCACGTCTTGCACTCAAAGCCAAAACTCTTACACCCTAAGCCAATCCCTTTATACCTTGCATCTTAAGCCAATCCTATTGCACCAAAACCAATCCTCTTGCACCCTACACCTTGAGCCAAAATCTTTACACCCTCTGGTTGTTAAATTTTCATGTACTCTTTGATAATTACACATAATGAAAGGGTACTAACTTTTTTCTATGACCCTTAATCGGCTAGAGCTTTAGCAAGCGTACTATCACTAACCAAGCTCCACTAGTCAAATTTTGTGCTTTTTTAATTTTTTTTAATTAACATAAAGGGCATTTCAAACAGTTGAGCAGATTATTTTATGAATAAAATATTTAATCCGATCCTTCAAATGTACTTGATCCATGGACATAATTTCTGTCTCAACTAGGGATTTATTAGCAATTCCCCCTAATATATGTCATATGCGAGTTGTTAAATTTTTTTTATTTCATTCAAAAAAATTGTTTTTATAAGCAAATGATAGATAGATGATAATTATAATTGTATTTTTCTATAAAATATGCTTGTGTAATTTTTATTAAGTACGTATGATATTTTGCACAATTTTAATAGGATCTCTACACTTTTATTTTTGTAAAAAATATATTATATAGCTATGTATAAGATGATGGTATGCACTCAAGCCTTGGTTTCAAAGAAGACCAAAGGAGCAAAACATTATGCCATACAATAAGTTAATCTCTGACTCGCCTTTGAGGGAAGTAAGGAATCGTGACCTTTTCCATTTAATTGATGAATTTTGTTATTTTGACAAAATTGCCTCAGAAACAGAATTTTGCTGGCAATAGAGCTCCCGATAATGCCATGAGGTATGTGAGCCGAGGGAGGAAATTACTTATAACTATCTCTATTAGTCTATTTTGTAATTTTAAAATTATTTTTAAATTAACATAACTAAAAAAATTTTAATTTATTTTGTTTTGGAAATAATTTTAAAAATTGTATTATGAAACAATTTTTAAAAATAAAAACCAAACAGGCTTTGCATTTCCATCCAAAAAAATGCTTTTAGATTGGACATGCATTAAGTCTAAACTATTTGTTACAGCAACTGACTTTTACTAAACTAGCTTTTGTTAAATGAATATTTGACAAATTAACATTTAGCTAATGGAAAACCAAACATGCACCAAAACACATTGGCAGCCAGTCGTTGTTAGATTGGGCTCTTGGCCCAAGCAAAGACTAAATCCAATCAAATTCACCTCAGGAGAGGATTCCTCTCCTTTTCTTTGTCCATCATCTTCCTTCTTTTTCTTTTGTAACGATTTGATCAAGATTTGAATGGTTTGGATCTAGTCTCATATAAAATTATTATTAAAATATTAAATTATGAAAAAAATATAAATGATAAAATTCAAATTGTTAAATTTTAATATGAACAATTAAAAGATACAATAAAAATAAAATGAAATGAAATATTTTATAAGAGAATAAATTTGAACAACTCAAATTTTAATCCAATACCCAAAAATTAGGAAGATGACAGGGAGAGAAAAGGGAACCCTCGCCCCCTTGGTTTTATTCCACGATCCTTTGAGAGAAGTTATCCAATGTGCAAGCCACATAATAAGATAGCCCAGGTGAAGAATGAGGAGTGATAATGACTACAAGGATTCTTAAGTTGTCAACATATTATGGGTAATTGTCAATATACTATACGTGATGTAGATTAAACTAATAAATCTATTATGAAATGGCACGATGTGTTGTTAATAGCCTAAGCATAAGTTATCAATATGTTATGGGTAATTATTAATATGCTATGAGTAGTTATCAATATAGTTGGCAATATCATGTAAGAATATACACATAAAAACTTCAAAAAGAAAAGGAGGCTGCTAGTGAGATAAAAATCATATGCCTTAGGCTATTTCTCTCTATCTTGTCCACTTGAGCTAGTTCTTGTAATATTAAAGATAATCGAGTGAATATAAATG